AAAAAAAAAAAAACTTTCAGAAATGTTGGTAATTCTGGGATTCTGGGTTTAACTGGGACCTCATGTGTTTTACTGCAAAACTAAGAATACTATTTGGTTGCATTCATTTATTGTATTAAATATGAAACCAAGACTATTTTCTACTATTTCTTGCAAGGATCACACTCTTCTGGATTTAGTTTAATATGTGCTGATTGTTTACTTATACCTTTATTTTGTGTGTCTTTATGTAGTAACAAAATGTTTCCTGTCTTTGGTTTTGGAGCCAAGATCCCTCCCTCCTGGCAGGTGTGAAAAACCTTAAATTAAATGATGCGATGAGGTTTTATTTCCTGTGCTTTCACTTTTCTCCAATGAACCAGGTGGATATGTTGAAGTAAGGACTGGTTTAAATGAGATGTTATAAAATATTTCTACTGTCCCTGGCCTAAGAGAATGTGATGAAGTTGACACCGTTTTTCGGACTTGTTCTATTTTGAAACTCAAAGGTGTCAAAGGTGTAAAATTGTCACTGACTGTATTTCTAAAGATTTAATATCCTCGCACAGGTGTCCCATGAGTTTCCAATCAATTTCAATCCAGCAAATCCATTCTGTGCAGGTACGTGTAAATTCGTCACAAGAGTCATTGCCTCTTAAAAGCTGTTCACCAGTGCTGCACTGTGCTGACATATATGTGTGTGTGTGTACGTGTTGCAGGCATAGAGGGAGTGGTGCAGGCGTACCAGCAGTGTCTACCCCAGCTGAAGCTCTGGGGTCCCACCAACTTTTCTCCGATTATTGACCACGTCACCTGCTTCGCCAAACAAGCTGTCCGGCAGAACACGGCCTCGGTGAGTAGCTCAAAATCAAGTGTTGAAATACTCAGTGGTTAATGTGAAACCCAAGATAACTGATGAATCCAATCATTGTTAGAATCAGTTTTGAGAGCAGGACGTATTGGATAATTGACAACTTCTGAATTTAGACGTTATTAATGTTTAAATTCGTTTTTCTAGAAGACTGTATATTGTGGAAGAACATCAAATAATTTAAAATACAGGTAATTCATCAAATTTACATCATATTCAGCAACTTCGCTTAACTTTAAATAAAATAATAATTTGGAAGTGCAAACGGCTAATTCCAAACAGACATGTTTAGAACAGGCACGACACAAGTATAATCTAAATGAAACAGGAATAAGATTATAATATGTTCTAGGATCATTTTGAAACTAATCAGGAAATGAGAGGCTCTTTGTGTTCTTTATATCTGATTATGTCTCTCTCTCCATCTGCAGCAATACTACGTGCTGCTCATCATCACAGACGGAGTGATCACAGACATGGACCAGACGCGCGCTGCGATAGTAGAGGCCTCTCGTCTGCCCATGTCTATCATCATAGTGGGCGTGGGAGATGCAGACTTCAGCGCAATGGAGTTCCTCGACAGCGACGACAAGCTGCTGCGTTCGCCGACCGGTGACGTCGCTGCGAGAGACATCGTCCAGTTTGTGCCATTCAGGGATTTCCAAGTAAGCTGCAGCGCAAACCTTTGTATTGAGGTTACAGAATATTTCATCACTTTGTATAATGGGTATAAACTGATTCACAAAAATGTCAAATAATACATTTCACTCTTCAGTTTTGTTAGTTTTGTTCTTGACATCAGTCCGTATTGCTCCTTGATGTGCTGTTAAATGTACAATATTTAACTTTGGCCACAAGGGGTCTCTCAATTAAAACAAATACAAGAGACCCAGTTTGTTGATGTCGTAAATGAGTGTGGGATCATGGGATTTATTATCTTCACCATCATTTCTTGTCCCATCATGTCATCGGACAACGAGCTAACTGGCTAGCAGTGAATTTTTCCTTTTTTTGTAGGCCTATGATGTTTTCCTGTTAGCACATATGACACTAATAAAAGGCACCAAAATGAATTTTTATCTGTGGAATTAAGAAAATGTCCTTTTAAACCCAAGTGTGTCCCACAGAGCTCTGTTAACCACACAGGTTGGCACAAATACTGCAGGTGCAGGTGTTGGGATGAACCCTAACCCTCGCCCTTTCTCATGTGACATTGTCATTGCAGGGAAACAGCGTGGCCCTTGCCCAGAGCGTCCTGGCAGAGCTGCCCGATCAAGTGTCCTCCTTCTTCAATTCTTACAAGCTGAAACCCCCAAATATATCCACTGTTTCTGAGCCGTCTTAGAAAGGTGGGATAATGAACCCAAATACCTCATATTTACCACATGTTATGTATGTTATGTTATATACAGCTTGTGCTGGCGCGTGTAGAGGAAGAAAATTATGGTCGAATCAAAAACAGCATTTATTATGTTTTTAAAATGTATTTGAATTCTTGAAGATGAATTCCTCTGACATGATGCCTTGTAATGCATGAAATCATCAAGCAATCATGATAAAAGTAATCACACTGTGCACTACGAGTGTATCACTGTGACATGCTGCAATGGCTTTGTTGATTAAAGTGTTGTTTAAATGTTTTTCAGTCTCCTCTCTGTGTGAGCTTTTCTCTCTATATATAGATATATAAATGCATGTAGAAATATGTAAATACATGTAAAAATACATAGACAAGTAAATGTTAAAATACACGAAGGAATAGATTTTCTAAATGCATTGAGAAATATATAAATACATGTAAAAATACATAAATGTAAAAAAAACATGGATGAATAGATTTTCTAAATGCATTGAGAAATATATAAAAACACTGATGAATAGATGATATAAATGCATTGAGAAATATATAAATATGTGTAAAAATACATAAATATAAAAATACATCAATGACATGTATAAAAATACATGAATGGATTATAAGTATTGCATAGTTTTTGATGTGTTCACTTATTTATTTCGGCATTTATTTGCTCTGGGGCATTTTTGGGACATGACAGGATTTGGGGAATGTGCACAAGCGGTAATGAAAAGTAAGATTCCAGTTACAGCTACTGTAATATGGATGATATATGATGAGATGTACAAGAGAAGAGACTGCAAAGATAATACTTCCTCTGAGATTGTGTGGAGGTCTTGTTCCGACTGAGGGTGCTGATAAAACACTACACAACATAGGAACACAAAAACTAAATAGTAAAACAAGCCTCTTGGGCTCACGATGTCAGTGGAGTGGGGGGAGGGGTCTCACTCTGCTCAGTCAGATGCTGATGTTGTGCTGCAGGTTTTTGGATCCATTCACTCAGCAGCGCTGCACCGCCCCTGTGTGTGCCTCCGCCGCCGGGGTGTGCCTGTAACTGGAAACGAACGCACCGGACACCGCCCACCACTGAAGCTACCGCCGTCTCTCAATGTTCCTAACGACAGCTAGCTACCAGCCGGCTAACCAGGTAGGACCAGGAGAGATTAATGGTTGTTTTTGACTTCACGTTTCTGTCAGAATAAATACAGACGTCCAGCTTTTACGTTGGTGTTTATTAAATAGTCACTTCCACCACTGACCCGGTTCTTCTGCTACTTTTCTTCTTAGCGTGTCACCGTTAGCTGGAAGGAAAACAAGCGTTGCCTCGTTCAGTGAACAGTAACTGGACGAGAGTTAATGGCTGTTCTACTTGAATATAACACATAAATATATGAATATAAATAACGCTGTAGTTTGATGCGTCTTCTCTGAGGAGTTGTGATCTGAGCTCTGACGTTGTCCAGCAGCAGCTCGGACCGTCAGTGAAGTTAGCTTCCGATTCGCTAGTAATGGGGATGGTTCCACTGACAGTGACTCGTTCTCAGTTTCTGATTTTATCAGTGAGCATCTGTGAAGATCGAAGTCTCAACTGGAACTGTGTGTTTTAGTCTTCATGAGATTTGTCTCATTAGATTGAATGTTTTCTGATGTGGTTTCCATGTGGTTTCAGAGAGTGTTGTGGTTAAAAACAACGTGTTTAAACAGGAAAAGATGCTAAAACAACGATAGTCTTTGTCTAACTTTCCCTTAACTTTCCCTTTATCCTCGATTCAGAAGCGAACTTCACTGTCAGTCATGATTTCCGTTAACCAGCGTGATGTGACTGACGGTGAGTCAGATCTAATGGATGACTGTTGTTCTTCATGGGGAATCACTTGGATTTCACTTGTGTAAACGACAGTCTTGTGTAAACTACAGTCTTCAGATGAACGTCATCTCTGCTCTGAGGCTTGTTGTGTGTCAGCAGCTCTCTGACAACACTCACCCAACAATCACAACACACATATTTACATCCTGGAAGCTAAAAGCTGACAGACTGAAAAAAAGATTGAGATTTCTCGTATTATCTTGTAATATTACGAGAATAAAGTCGTAGTGTAACAATAATTAAGTTGTAATTTACAAAGAAAAAGGTTGTAATGGCATGAGAATGAAGTCGTAATTCAATGAGAACAGAAGTCATAGAATTAAAAAATTGAAATCGTAATGTAACTAGAATAAACTGTTACGATATAATGTGGTTTATTTAACGTGTTTTGTTTGTAGAGAGTGCAGAGAGGATACAAATGACATGTAAACGTTAAGAGTCTGTGCAAAGTGTGTATAATTAGTCTATATGTGTCTTCTTTCTTTGAAATTCCCATACTCTATAAATTGAGATAGCTCGAGTGGTTAAGTAAATAATATTAAAGTCTTATCGTTTTGTAAGGATGTGGTAACTTACTGTGTTTCTGTTTGTCAGTTCCTGTGTGTGAGTGTGTGTCCTTCAGTCTGTAATGGCGGCAGGTGGGAACCCAGGTCCGCGGGCGACAGACTGCGTGACCAAGGTGGCACTGAGCATCTCCTGTGAGAATCTGCTCGACATGGACGTACTCTCAAAGTCCGACCCGATGTGTGTGCTTCTTATGAACAGCTCTGGGCCCCACTGGTGTGAGGTAAGTGGGTTTAATAGGTTGTTCGTCTACACACACATCCAGCTGTTCAGTGAAACTTAAAATCATGTAGTTTTCACACGTGGACTGAATCAGAAACCTTTTTCTCACTACACCGGAGATGTGGATTTACATGAACATAATGCAGTGATATACAGTGACACGGGTACAGTGATATTCACACTTTCTCCATTCACCCTAATGTAAATTAAAATACCAAGTATCACTACTGATGTAGAACGCCTGTTGGAGCCAAAGATATATTCAGCTCTTTGTCTTGAATTGTTCATTTAGGCTGCAGAAGTTTTTTAAATACATTTTCCGGGTAAGGTGGATGAACAATGTGTCCCTATCCAACATTTAGTATTTTGTTGTTTTCAAAGTGAAATACCTCAGTTGTGGTTGCTGTCACCTTGGAAATGTCCGTATCTGCTGTGAGTCACGTCTCTGACCCTGCGACATGTGTCTGTGTTAGATTGGCCGGACAGAGAAAATAAACAACTGCCTTAATCCCAGTTTCTCCAAGACGTTTGTCATCGACTACTACTTTGAGATGGTGCAGAAGCTGAAGTTTGAAGTGTACGACATCGACAGTGACAACAGCAGCCTGCAAGATGCTGACTTCCTGGGAGAACTGGAGTGTAGTTTGGGACAGGTAAACACTCTTTGCCTGCTTCAACAGAACATTCATCACAGTAGTCCTCATACTTATTAGTTTTTTTCTTTACTATTGTATTTTCGTCCTGTGGCATTTCTAATAATTCCTACAATGACACAAGGTGATGTTATTTAATTTTTTCTAGGTTGTGTCCTCGAAGAAACTTAGACGTCCACTTGTCATGAAGGACAAGTCGCCTGCAGGAAAAGGAACCATCACTGTGAGTAGCTTTCATTCAGATTGGAGGATTATGGATTTTTGGTTTGACGTGTATTCAAACTCATTTCACATTTTAACACAGTGTTGTTTCTTGTTTTGTAGATCTGTGCAGAGGAGAGAACAGACAACAGGGTGGTGGAATTTGAAATTGCAGCTAGAAAACTGGATAAAAAGGTATTGATCACTACTAAGAAGAAAAAATCTGCTGTTTTTAGTTCAATTATATAAACTACTACAATTTATCAGGGCTACTGCAACTACTGTGATACAGTTTTGGAGACTGAAAGAACTGTGACCATCAGCTTGGTTTTCTTGTGCTTTCGCCTCCTTTTCATCAACCTTATTCAAGTTGATGGGAATCTGCTGCTTTTCAGAAATGCACATGGAGAAAAATACATATCAGGGATTATAAAGAGATTGATAGAGTTATATGGAGTGCAGTCACTGTGGGGGATGTAACTAAAACTCGATACAGCTTGATCATTTACGTATTACATCTACCTGGACATCTGTTAACTACTTTATATATATTTATATTCTGCAAAAGCTAATATGTCCCGTAACTAGTTAGTGGTAAGAAGTATTGGTTTGGTTGAGCTGTATGTAACTTTCATTCCCATTTCTAGGATTTCTTTGGGAAGTCTGACCCTTTCCTGGAATTCTTCAAGCAGACAGAAACTGGATGGCAGCTGGCTCACAGGACAGAGGTACAGACATACTGGTTGTATAACAAGACATCGCTCTGACTCTATGACTATGTTACTCTGTGAATATGTTACTCTGACTCTGCTACACCCTTGCCGTGGACCGTGACTCTGTGACTTGTATCTGCCTCTTTTTATCAGTGACTCGTGGTGGTCTAAGTGCACCTTGTTAATCTGTGTCATTGTCCAGGTGGTGAAAAACAACTTAAACCCAACATGGAAACGATTCCGTGTCCCAATGCAATCACTCTGCGGAGGAGATGTGGAGAAAACTATCAAGGTACACAAACAGATTTTACTTAAAAAAAAAAACTAAAATAACATTTTCATTAATGATTAACCTGGAAAAGTATTTTTTCAATGAATCGATGAATCCTTTGTTCTGTATAATTTTTAAAAATAAAACAATTTTCAATCGCATTTTCTAGGCTGATGCAACGAAGCAATTATCAAAATATACACGGATATAAGTGTTTATTTAACGTGTTTTGTTTGGAGAGAGTGCAGAGAGGATTCAGATGATATGTAAATATTAAGAGTCTGTACAAAGTCTGTATAATTAGACCACATTTACTGAATTTACTATCATTACAGCTTCATCTGGAATATGTAAATGTACAATTCTAAGCTTCATTTCTAAATATAAATCAATTGTCTTTTACAGCTTATTTCATACATTTACTTATGATTTGTGTTATATAATGTTTTCTCAGCTCAACGTTTAGTTTTTTGTCTCTTGTGCATATCAAAGGTTCAGATAATCTTGGTACAAATTAGGAAATGTGTGTAAGCATTAGTTTACGTGAGCTGTTTTTTGTTTCTGTCCTCTTACCTGTTAAAGCACACTTATCAGGAAGAGATGCTTTCCCATCAACTGTGCAAGTGAGTTTACTGTCAACACCCTGAGTGCTCTTTATTTGAAGGATGCAGTGTCTGAGACACGGCAGGTCACACTCGTAGACAAACCTATGAACATCTTGAGGAGGATGCATAGTTATGCAGAGTGTGACCCATTGGTAAACGTACCTGTTAAATGATAACTGTGTGTGTTTGTGTGTTTCTAGTTGATCATTGACTCTAGTGCTCCTTGTCAGCAGTTTGGGACAGTGGGGCACTGGAACATGGGACTAAACATGAATTGAAGTGAAGATAAATTGTAGTTTTTTGTCCATATAAATAGTAATATGTGGTAGTTATTGGTCAGTCTCCTGTTTCCTGAGGATTTTGAAGCCTGTGTGTGACAGAAACGTTTAGTCTCTGCACAGAAAGCATGTTGTTTATCCCAATAAACCCGTGTGTCATTGTAAGAACCCAAGTTATAATTCTGTGCAAACTGAAGCAACGTTCTATACAAGAACGTTAATGAATTCACGTGGGGTCGAAATAATCGGAAAACGTAGTTCCAGACATCACTTGTAAACCAATCAGATTGTTTTTTTCCACATTCTGAAATGGGAACAATTTCACATTATCTGTTTGACCCATTTCACTTCTTTTGCTACCTCATATATACACTTTAATTCTTTTTTATTTATTTATTTTTATTCCATTTTTTTTGTTTGTTGCTATGTTTATATTGCACCTTGAGGATTGCAGCTAAATTTTGTTGTACACTGTGAGGAAGAGGAAGTCTTTCTCTTTGTCTTTGACTGGAACAGCTTCATTACTGTCTACTATGATTTAAGTAATTGTAAATGTGGACCCCTGCTCTCCACATCACTGCTGGGTGCGGTTAAGTACAATAAGTGAGTAAATGTACTGAGTTACACTCCACCACAGGTGCAGGTTCTGGTCCGGTCCAAAGGAGCCAGTCAGGGGCTGCACTCTCTCTGTTTGCCAGTCACAAGGCTAGTGTGTGCTTTTGCTCTGCCTAGTTCACACTATACGATTAAGCCCAATATAGAATTATCAAACCCAAATTAGCATTGCTACGTATGTACTCTTAAATATCTTATAAACTGTGATATCAACTGAAGCGTTTCACCTCTCCTGCAGCTTCAGCAGAGATTACACAGACGAGCAGGAGGATCATTCGGATTTACCGTGTCACTGCTCGTGTGTGTTTTTGTGACCAAACGTAGATAGCTTAGTGTGTGACCCCCATGCAGTACAAATGTATGACTTCAAGACTCCCATGTAGTGTGAACTGCACACTGATCCAATGGCTTTGAAAGTCCTATAGTCTGAACACCTATAGCATGCTTTTCGTCTCATCATCTTTAATGTCCACACACTGATGAAAAGTTATCCGTTGAATCTTTTATTTATCGCTCATTTAATGTCAAAGAGAGTTCGACTGATTGTTTCTTGTTTTCTCCTGAATGTTTTTCTCAGGTTGACTGTCACGACTACAACAACAGCGGATCTCACGACTTCATCGGATCCTTCCAGGCCACACTCTGCCAAATACAACAGGCTTCACAGACGTTTGCGGTGAGCTCTGTGTGCCAGAACATGAACAAAACTGAAACGTGAAAGAAATGAAATACAAACCTGATTTTTATTCTTTTAACAAGCATTTTCTGGTGGATATTTATTCTATATTAAGCACTCATGGTGTGTTTGTTATCCTCTCAGGCGGAGTTTGAATGCATCAACATTAAGAAGAAACAGAAGAAGAAAGGATACAAAAACTCTGGTGTTATCGTCATAAAACAGTGCAAGGTACTTTGGTTTTATGTAGTTTTTCCTTTGTGAGCTCACGTTTCCTATTAACCTCTGTATATCTGACAAACACATTCTTATCTGGCTGCATGTTGTATCTTTAAGACAACAGAAGATTATTTTTTGTCTTTTATTCTTGAAAGGTTTAGTAATTTGTGTCATCAACATGTATTTGCAGGTTGTGAAGGAGTACACGTTCCTGGATTACATAATGGGTGGCTGCCAGATTAACTTCACTGTGCGTGGTCAACACTTTCTTGTTAATCTCCTTTTTAAAATATATGTTTAAGAAGAATCAAAATATTTACCTCGTGGTTAAATGTGATGGTGTCTCCATGTTTACTGTGTGATGTCAGACTATTATTTGATTTGATGCTTGTATTTATGTACTAGATTGCTATTGACTTCACTGGTTCCAATGGAGACCCCAGATTACCTGTATCCCTCCACTACATCAACCCTCAGGGCTATAATGAATACCTGGCAGCAATCTGGGCAGTGGGTAATGTCATCCAGGACTATGACAGGTAAATACAGCAGATTGTTTTCTATGAGGCATCATGAGCCACCGACAATCCAAACACAGCAAAGGTTGTGTTTTCCTTCCTTTAGAAAATGGGTTGATTTAAAAGAAGAAGAAAGAAGTGAATGTGTTTTTTGTGTTAGTCCCCAACCACCAACAGAGAAATGTTCGTGACAGATCTGTGAATGTCATCAGAGAAATGCAGCAATAGCGCATTCTTGTACTGCCTTCTAAAACGACTAAGATGTAATCAAGTGTCTTAAAAAGGGTGGGGCACCATAAAGGTGTTTTATGTCTAAATGAAGCTGTAGGTAACACTAATGTAATGTGTTCATGTCTTGTACAACATCTGAACAGGGCTCTAGTCTACTCCCGTGTTTGTATAAATGGTAACATCTATGCTGCTTTGCTTCCTGTGCACAGTGACAAGCTATTCCCTGCTTTGGGTTTTGGAGCCCAGATCCCTCCGACATGGCAGGTGATTGTTTATTTCAGTCACAACATCACTGATGTTGATATAGGCCTTTCAACGTGTGATGATTAATCTTTGTTAGATTAATATTAACATCAATGTATCTCAGCTCATGTCAGATTACAGTAATCCGGATTTATAATTGTTTGTATTCACAGGTCAGCCATGAGTTTCCCATCAACTTCAATCCATCAAATCCGTTTTGTACAGGTAACAAGAGACTGATGGGAATTTCCGCATTAATGAGATGACTCAATCAAGACTGTGACAATCAGGATTCCTAGAAAATTTAGAGGCACAAATGGAATTTGTTGAATTTGTGATATAAAATATACGCATGGGATAGTCAACAACAAAGGAAGGAATTATACATTTCAACAAATTTGATCACTGATCAGTAGGTCTTCAGAAAATTTAAAACAACAATTTTGATAATCAAAATATCTACTAAAGTGGTCAGTATTATACTATTAAGCGTAATTGGATTTGCTGATCGTTTTACATTGTTGTAAATACATTTGCTGATGTTGAAGAATAATCATGGAACGTGTTTGTTTCAACGTCTCACAAGACATTTTAATTTCCGTGTAGATTGTCTTTGTCCCATAAATTGGCACATAATTGATCATCATGTTGTGATGTGGTGACCATTTGTGCTAAATCAACATGGAAATATATTTTCTGAGTGGATTACTGTTCACTTATGTTTGTGTGTGTGTTTGCTTTCTTTTTTGTTTTGTAGGTATAGAAGGTGTGGTGCAAGCCTACCAGCAGTGTCTTCCTCAGGTGAAGCTTTATGGCCCCACAAACTTTTCTCCAGTCATCAACCATGTGGCCCACTTTGGCAGACAAGCCCTGCAGCAGGATACTGCCTCTGTGAGTTACAGAGTTTGAAATTCAATTTACAACTGTAGTTGTTCATTATTAAAGTTTTGCAGTTTTGTTATTGAACAGCAAGTTCTTCTTTCCACCCAATACAAATCTTTCTGTGTTGTTTCCCAGCAATACTTTGTTTTGCTCATCATCACTGACGGAGTGATCACAGACATGGACGAGACCCGCAACGCCATCGTCAACGCCTCTCGTCTGCCAATGTCTATCATCATAGTCGGGGTAGGGGGGGCGGACTTCACTGCCATGGAGTTCCTGGATGGAGATGATGGAAATTTACGCTCGGCTACAGGCGAGGCTGCCATGAGGGACATTGTGCAGTTTGTGCCATTCAGGCAGTTCCAAAATGTAAGCTAATCTATTAAGTCTTTGTCGGCATGCACCACCTGATCTTCTTTAAATCCTGAAATATTGTCCTCACATCTTATTTCAGGCAGGGACTGCAGCCCTTGCCCAGAGTGTACTGGCAGAGTTGCCCGATCAAGTGGCCTCCTTCTTCAATTTATTTGACCTGAAGCCTCCCAACGAACCCAGTCCTTCCTAGAACTTTAGGAGGTACTCCTCCTGACTTACCAACCCTATTCTCCTCTCACTTTCCCTTATTTGATCCATAGCTGCATTACTTCATATATCAACATACAGTATCTAATCCTCGTCATGGGTTACAGTGTGAAAGGCAGTACAGGGCTACAGAGTGGGCCCAAAAATCCATCATTTTACTTGTTGCACCAATGAATCTGATATTTAGCAGGTCTGTCTCTGGCCATGGGCAGACATGGCATAAACATGTATCTTTTGTGATCCAATCACAGGTGGGCACCTCCAAGTAAAAGGTGAATCCACCCATGACCTTTGAGATCTGATTGCACATGACCACATTCTTTTAGCAGTGTGTAAGCCGCTGTGTCCTGGGGCTTATTCAGGCATCGCCTTCTCAACTGATGTCCACACTTGGTTGCAAAAAGTACAAATTGTATAATTGTGTAAACTTGTTTTGTCCAAGTCAGAAAGTAAAGAAAAGCCCATAGAGATACTCTGCAAGTGCATCTTACGTAATTTGCTCAGAACATGCAGAGGAATAGACCCACACTTCTTTATTGTTTTGATCCCTTTTTCCTTCTTTAATTCCCACAGATTAGGCATGGGAAGTTTATCACTGGTCAAACAAAACATAATTTAGTATTAAGAAACAGAAATCACGAGTTTATTTGTACTTAGTGAGAGAGAATGTGAGAGCGGATCACAGTGCAAACAGTGTTGCAATTAATCTCAGTACTGGTAGACAGTATTGAATATTCAGGAAGATGGATATAATGTTTATAAATGTAATGTTTATAACGTCTCCATAGTTTAGTATTGACATTAACATGGCAGCAACAAGTCTCCTATGGCCTTGACAGAAAAGCAAGACTTGATTGTACAATAAAAATCCAATTTCAACTCATTCATTTTTTTGCGCAGAGAAGCTGAACATGAGATATTACAGAAAGAGACTAATCAATTACAATATGTAGATGTTAGTATTGAGATGCATAATGTCTGAGCCCTGAAAAATGGTGGTGGATGTGGTTCAGAGGCTTTGATTTTGGATTTTAAAACATTGAGAGTTTTGTTTTGCAAGCAATCAAAGAACGTTTTATATGGTATATTGTTCAGAATTTAAAGCAGTAGTATCCAAGTGATACCCTCAGCTTGCATGCACTGAGATCTGACTGGTTGTTAAATTCTAAATGTAATAGTTTGTTCTAACAATCTTATACTAATCTTTGCTTGAATTTTGCATGATCCACAGCACCAGAAACCATTAATAAGCTAACAAAAATGGACTGTGCGATGTTGCTTGTATTGCCACTAAAACAAAAGTTTGCACAATAATATAAAAGTTTAGCAATGCTGTGGTAATAGCAGCTTATTATTTTAATGCACTCCTCCGAAAGGTTTCATGTCTTATCAAAATTTGCAACAAAGACATGAAACACACTAATTTTTACTGCCTCTTATGTTCGGTTGCTGCAGTTCCTCCGCTCTTTCTCTTGAAACCTGGTATACATGCAGCATTTGTAATTCTCACTTCTTTCCTCTGCCCCGACTCTTTAGGGTCCTCAAGAAATGCTCGCCCAGAGTGTCTTGGCAGAAGTCCCAGGTCAGGTGACGGGCTTCTTCAACACCGTGGGTTTGAAGCCACCCCACAGCGACACACCTCTCCCTGACCTCTCAGCATCAGCACCCCCCAGTGATGCACCTTGAGAATCAGCTTTTCTCCTCAATATCACACCTACAAAGGCCACTTAAACTCTGGAAAAGGTCCTTTTCTTTCATGTGTATTTATTACTCATAACGTGGTTATACAAGCATGTGAAAAGATGTACTAATAATCCATAGAATAATAATCTGAGATCCATAGTTGACAAAGCCAGATTACCCCCGAATGTTTCCTAATGTTTGTTGACTTCCCTATAGTGTAGATATTTATAGATATTAATATGACACATATATATGACTCCATGTGACTCAAGTGCCAGGATTTTTCAGAGTTTATTATTTCTTATTTTATCACTTCGCTAATGAATCAGTTGAATTGTGTGTGACTTGACTCAAGGTCTTTGGTTTCAGTAGAAAAACTGAGGCACCTTCAAACGGCCATCTGGTCAGTGATAAACTGAAACCCATGAAAGGGAAGGAGTTCTCCATGTGTTTCTGCTTATGTGTTTCCATATTACAGTGAACACTCTGAATGAAGCAGTTTCCATTGACACCACAGACCTTGGTCAAAGTTTTGTTTTTGCCAAACCCCAGGAAATCTTCAGTGATGTTTACGTATGAGAATTCAACGGATGAATAGATTTCATATCTTTTGTAGATTTTGCACTACAGAAGTTGCTGCAATGTATCCTTGCTGATGTTTTTGCACGTCTCTCTTTCTATTTTTGAGGTCATGTATGGTGCTTTTATATACGAACGTTAGACCAAGAGAATCTCAAGGAGCCATTCTCTACACTAGTGGACAGGCTCATATGGTAAAACACGTGTTTACATAACAAAGCTCAATCTGTCTTAACAGGAGAAAGTAAAACCTCAAACTCAACTGACTGTTATGAAAATGAACTGTCTATGTTTATACACTGCCTGGCCAAAAAAAAAAGTCCCTACCAAAAAAAAGGTCACACACTCTTAATATTTCATTGAACCGCCTTTAGCTTTGATTGCTGTACGCATTCGTTGTGGCATTGTTTCGATAAGCTTCTGCAATGTCACAAGATTTATTTCCATCCAGTGTAGCATTCGTTTTTCACCAAGATCTTGCATTGATGATGGTAGAGTGGTACTACTGCGCAAAGCCTTCTCTCTCTCGCAATTTGAGCCCGATGAATCCGGGCATTGTCATCTTGGAATATGCCTGTGCCATCAGGGAAGAAAAAATCCATTGATGGAAAAGCCTGGTCATTCAGTATATTCAGGTGAGATTCAGCTGACCTCTTCTTTAGGTACATAATGTTGCTGAACCAACTGCAGCAGCCCCAGATCATAGCACTGCCCCCACAGGCTTGTACAGTAGGCACTAATCCTGATGGGTGCATCACTTCATCTGCATAAATCCTGGTGGCCAGGCAGTGTATATCAGTATGTTAATTATCACTATATCAAGTGTACATCTCGTTTCTTGCACTGATTATCGTGCCATTGCCTTATACATTATATATTTGTTTATCATTGATTTTAAACATATTTTATGTAAATGTTATATAACAAGAAAACAATATCAAATTTGACTAACACAATGTATCAGTATTGTTTTTTTTATGTTTTATGTGCAACTTCCTTATTGTCATGACATTAAAAACATACTTTATGTTTTTACACCTCAGATTCAGCCACTTGTGTGCGTCCTTTGATCAGAAATAAATCTTCCATACCCAGCAGCATTACTCACCACACCTCGCCCCCTGGCGGACACTGATAATGCAGCAACCCACGGGTGGAGACAGCACTAACCACTGACAGCAGACGTGGGGGTGGGTTCGGTTTCTACTCCGAGGTTTTTGTGTGGGCGGGCTTTAGCGCTCAGCCCCGGGATCGAGCTCCTGCGCTTCGTCCGCTTTACCCTCCTTCACCTCCTTCACCATCACCTCCTCGCACCGTGTTCCCATCCTGCGGCCTCACAGCTCTGAAGGTGAGTTTTAAACCAAACTAGCACCGGATGATCGAAACAAGCTAGCTGTCAAACACTAGCTGTGTTTAAATGCTATCGTTTGCGCCAGGCAGCCGCGGTCGGTTGTGCTCCACACCCACTGAGCTTCATTAAAACTCATCGACTCGTATTTTCCACGAGAGTCACACACTGTTCCTCCAGCTTTCTGGGACTGTCTCTCTTTATACACATAAAGTCTATGGTGGAGCTCCGTGAAGCTAAAAGTAGGAGCTAACCGCGACTTTAGCATTGTAGTATGTTTGGAGCGTGAAGTTAGCTCCTGCTGTGTTTGTGTTGTTATTTGTTCACCGTGAATCTGACAGAGGAAGGAAGGGGTTGATTAAAAGAGCCTCTTCAGTGTTTAATGTTACTTTTAACACCAGTTCCCTGCGCTGGCTTCCACACACCCATGCTAACATCTGTAAACAAACCAGTCGGCTAACCAATCTCCACGAGTCCTCAACAGAAGTGTCCCCGTGTGTCCTCTCCAGCTCGTCTCTTGCAGACATGGCAGCCCAGTGTGTCACGAAGGTGGAGCTGACCGTGTCCTGTGAGAATCTGCTGGACAAAGACATCGGCTCCAAGTCGGACCCCCTGTGTGTCCTGTTGATGAGCAGCTCGGACTCTAAGTGGTATGAGGTCAGTGAGGTGTTTGGAGCTAAGATGAGTGAACTGGTGGGTCTGGGTGTTATGACATCAGACTCTTGACAGAACACTTTTTCCGAGGTGTGGCAGTGTAAATCGTTGACTGCCTGATCATGTCATGTCCACATCCTGTTGCATCAATGCTTGTGTACCAACAGAAATCGTGCTCCTCAGGCTCCCTCACACGGCAAATCCAATCTTTCCTCACAGTTGGGACGCACGGAGAAAGTCCAGAACTGCCTCAGCCCGAAGTTTGCCAAAAAGTTTGTCATCGACTACTACTTTGAAATCGTGCAGAAGCTGAAGTTAGGGGTTTACGACATCGACAACAAGACCGTTGACCTGAGTGACGATGACTTCCTGGGGGAGCTGGAGTGCACCTTGGGCCAGGTGAAGTCCCCCCTCTCTGTTTGTGGAAGAAGATGACTCACAGTGTCCACAGTTCATGTTTAGGTTTCAGCTCCTTAAAACTACCCCCCCCCCGCTGTGGTAGGACACATATGGTGTAATAAGATGCCACTGTTTCTCCATGACGGACATGAAGCATTAACGTCCCTGATAAACAGTAGCTGTGTTGTCTTTCTCAGCATAATCCGATCTCAAATGTTGCCTGATTGTTTGTTTGTGTAATTTGCCATGTGGTCTGGAGTCTGCAGTGTTTTACTCATCTGCAGGTTGAGCTTCTTCATTCTGCTGCTTCTGCGGCCTCTTCATTATTAAATTTAAAATGATGATTTTTTGTTTTTAGGTTGTGTCCAGTAAAAAACTGACCCGACCGCTCGTCTTGAAGAACAAGTCTCCTGCAGGAAAAGGGACCATCACAGTGAGTGGCAGAAAACCAGAGAGACCTTTTTCAATGTTTGGCTGTATTTATTTTTGTTCTGTCGTTATTTACCTTCTTTTTTGCCGTAGATAAATGCAGAGGAAATAAAGGACAACAGGGTGGTGAATTTTGAGGTGCAAGCAAGGAAACTTGATAACAAGGTACGTGTGTTTCTTCTCAACCCTTAGATACTCACTTAAGTTTCTTTTAGACATTCAGGTTTATCTTAATTGTATGTTTCTTTCTTTTGTTAATATCCAGGATTTCTTTGGGAAGTCCGACCCGTACCTGGAGTTCTACAAGCAGACACCAACTGGATGGCAGCTGGCTCACAGGACGGAGGTAAACACACCCAAAACTGCTATGATGGTGCTGCCACTGGCTGTATAGGGAAAGCTACAGTTCCTATACAAATATTAAAGTTAGGGCTGTCATGGCGATTTAAACTGAATCTATTCAATGAAATGCTTAGTGATTAATATAAATAATGGCATATGTCAATATTTGCCGTTAAAAGCAGGTTAAATAGTGGACCAAATAATAAATTAACATATGTAGACATAAGGTATATGGATCTCCACCGTTTCATCTGTCCCTGCATAGCTCATGCTTTATGCTTCTGCCCTCATTAGACAGTTGGGGAAGTGGTAAAAAGAAGGGTCTGAGTAATGTTTACTTTTGGTAAATAATCTACTGACACAGAGTGACACAGAGTGAAACTCAAAGACTGCAATAAGATAAAACATAATTGCCCCCTTCTTGTATGGGATCAAGGGGCATCATAGAATATGATTAATGTGCATCCTTTTTTAAAATTGAATTGACGTGTTATTTTGACAACTCTTATTAAATGAATTATTAATAATAATGAAGTAATGTCATAATGACACATTTCATCTTCCTTGAAGGGACTAATGGGTTAGAAACTTGAAACTAAAAATTGTTCTAACACTGATGTCTGTAAGTTTGACAAGAGGAAGCCCCGATGGCTTGAACTTTATTACACCATAGCCTATGAGTAATATGTGTGTTGTACCAAACTCACTTTTGTTCAATTAGAAAAGTCATAATGTTGGAATTGTTTTTTAAAGTTTGTAGTTTTAGAAAAGGATTTTGAGGTTATCAGATGAAATGGACTTTCCTTGCATATTTAATTGCCTCATTGTAATAATTAGATTTGATATTAAGAGTCAATTTATTCCTTTTCTTTCTGTTGTTCCACATTTTCTCTTTTAATTCTTAATAATTGTTAGCAGCACCTTGTGTCAAGGTTTTACTCCAAAAATTTAGTTATTTTTGACAGAAACTTATGACAACATGAATCTGCATGTTCCAGATATGAAGTATTATGTGTTTGTATAATCTTCACATATTTTGTCCTCAGGTGGTGAACAACAACTTGAATCCAACATGGAAACCCTTTCGAATCCCCCTGCAGTCTCTCTGTGGAGGAGAAATGGACAAATCGATAAAAGTAACTAACACCTCTTTAACATCAACATCTAACACAGCTGGAACGTGCATCTTCAAGTGGCACTTTATATTTTCATGTGTTTAACATAACAAAACAATTTGAGCTTCTATTACGATGCAAATAGTTATCGGTTTTTGGTTTTCTGTGTTGGATCGCCTTCTCAGACGTGTGAAAACATATGAACCCACAGTGTATTCAGTATTAGCTTGATCATATATACTCTTTTAACCTCTTAAGCAAACATGTCAGGAAGGAAGGCGTTTCGAAGCGCACAAGACATGTGAGTTACCCAGAGCGTTGCAGTGTTTGTCTTTTCTCATCTCGCCATCACTTTAATGGGTGTTAAGTGTGTGCCTGAAGTAGATGGGGATTAATACAAGACACCACCTCATACATGGTGTCCGGCGCTCCGTCTCTCCTTCATCCAACTCGATCCTCTCGTAGAAAACATTTGTCTGAGACTGCAACTCGTCTTCTTTAAATCACGTCACTGTGTCTGTGTAGTGCTGCTGTTTCCCAGAGAGTCATGTTCTGGATCTCACTTTTGCACGTTGTTTGTTTCCTTTGTTTTCTACATCTTCTGCGTCTAGTAAACTTAAAGGTTGAGTTCACTCAAATGACCAAGCTTTCATCTCTTACATTCAGTGGTATTTGACTGTGCAGGTAGTTTTTTTTTTCCTTATGTCTATTTTCTTTTTAAGTGTGTGGTTGTTCAGTTTGAGAGCAGAACTCACTGATTTTACGCTCAGATTTAATAATGTTCTCGCACAAAACCCTGCAATTGCACTCAAGTAGCACCTGCTTATGCAAAATGTGCACTTGCACTCAAACATTATGATAGTTGGATAGATTTCCTGCACTCCAGCTTCAGCTCTTCTCCTCAAGTGCAGGAAATCCATCCAAGCATAATAACTGAGGGCAAGCGCACAGTTTGAGCACAAACAGAGCAAATCAAAGCACAAGTGCACTAGGGTTTTGAGTGACAGCATTACAAAATCTATGCAGATATGTAAATTTCACAGTGACAGTTTCTTAGTTTGAATAACTGAAAACCAGTTTCTCTTTTTTTTTTGTAGTTTTTCGTGAACTGACTCCTTCAGAGAAACCTTTTCTCTGTGTGAACGTTTTTCTTTCTTCCTGGCCAGGTCGGTCACATCACCATGTATTTTTTAAACCTGTTTCCAGGTCGAGTGTTACGACTATGACAACGATGGTTCTCATGATCTCATTGGAGCCTTTGAGACCACGATGACACGCCTCCAAGAAGCAACACAGTCTTCTCCGGTATGAGTGGGTGTGGGTGTGTTGACATTGTTTCACTTAACAACAAAACAGAAACAGAAATCAGCTGTTATTGCTCGTTACTTCCATTTTACATTGTTTAGATTCCATTTTGGAATTTTTATTTATTTCAATTTTGTATTTGAGTGGGCTGTGGTCGGTGTAACTTCTTTTTTAACTACTATTGCGACCTATGTTACATATTTTGGTGACTTGTGTCTTTCCAACAATTTTCCAACCTTTAGTAAATTCCCTCATCCGTGAACATGATTCACAGCCACAGTTACACATTATACGTTTAAAGCAACAGACTGAAAAAATAAACCTGGTTTTAAAAGTAAGATCATCAACTTAAGCTGTTGTGTTTCCTCATAGGCAGAGTTTGATTGCATCAACAGTAAGAAGAAACAGAAGAAGAAAGGCTACAAGAACTCTGGGGTTGTGAGCGTAAAGCTTTGCAAGGTATAGTTCTGTGTTTGTCTTGTTGCTGTGTAAAAGGTGTGATTAGTATTTGCATGTGGTCTGTGGTATTCCATGTTCTACAGCACTCCTCTTTAAAGCACCTGTTTTATCTTTGTAGGTGGTGAAGGAGTATACATTCCTGGATTACATCATGGGAGGCTGTCAAATAAACTTCACTGTGAGTCATGGCGTTGTGGCTATTAATATCAGCTTTTGTTCACCCATGGGTGATCTCCAGTGACTAATGATATGTGCATTTCCTGTTTCCTTGCATCACTTGTGCATCTGTCGTCAGGTGGCTATCGACTTCACAGGCTCCAACGGGGATCCCAGGTCTCCTCAGTCTCTCCACTACATCAGCCCTCAGGGTGTGAACGAGTACCTCTCCGCTATCTGGTCTGTGGGCAACGTCATCCAGGACTATGACAGGTACACATGTCACGTACAACACCACAGTCTAATATTTTTATAACTCTACATACAGAATTGTTGTCTGTGCCAATGGAAGCGATAGTTTCAAAATGACTTAAAGTCTGTTCCAAATTTTCTGAGACGTCTTGATGAAGTTAAACTATAAAAAATTTGTTTTTTAAAGCAGCATTTTGTTTTCTTTTCTGTGTAGTGACAAGATGTTTCCTGCCTTTGGCTTTGGAGCCCAGATTCCTCCCACATGGCAGGTAAAGCTTAAATAAAAGATTAGAAATACATGCAAAAGTAGGGCTGCTGTTCAAATGCAGTATGAACACTGAATTCATGATAGTGTGGTTTTGCAGAGGAAATTATATCTGACTGTGGTGTTTTACAGGTTTCGCACCAGTTTCCTCTTAATTTCAACCCAGCAAATCCATTCTGTACAGGTGTGTTCACAAATCAATGAACTGCAGATACACGTTGTGATGTTATTTACTGTATACAAGCAGTTAATACACGTGAGTACTTTATTACATACTGGAGTTTTGTTGCATGCTGATACAAGCCTTGACCCTGTGTTTGTGTGTGTGTGCGTGCAAAGGTGTTGAAGGGGTGGTAGATGCCTACAGGGTCTGTTTGCCCCAAGTCAAACTCTACGGCCCCACCAACTTCTCCCCTATCATCAACCACGTGGCGTGCTTCGCTAATCAAGCCCTCAAGCAGAGCACTGCATCTGTGAGTGTTTGCCTTTGCTGCCATTTCCATAACTATAACTGTAAACCGTCACAACCAGCCTGTGTCAACATATTGTCGCTGTATTTAACAGATCGAGTACTCGGCCATTAGATAATTACAAAGGCCACACTCCTTACACTTCAGCAGTATTAGTCTTCTGGCTGAAAGACACTTCACTGATCAAACAGGAAAAACAACATAATACATTTCATTAGCTATTGAAAGTAGCTCTAAACACACAGCTTTCATTTCACAATGGTGGTGTATTCCCAACTATCTAACACAAATCAGGCTTGAGTTCTAAAGTGAACATGCTCTTCTGATACTGCCTGATATATATCAGTACTGATTTTCATATTCTGTTTGTATAATGTGATCTTCACTGGGGTGCAGGGAGATTTCATTATAGCTTTAACCATATTATCAGTTCTATGAAAGTAGCACAGTGATTACCTTTGTAAGCATTTTTCAGATGCCAGGCTCATAGTTACTGGATTTGTTATTTGGATTATATTATTCTGAATTTTTAAACCGATTTAAGAATGCTTTACAAACAACCAGTCTAAAAAATGCAGGAGGAGGAACCAGAAGATAAAGAATGTTTGGGAATCTTTTAGAGAAGCCAGTATCAGTGATAAAAACCTGAATGTCATTTCACAGAGTTTACAGTTTAACTATTCTTCTTCTGCCTGTGTTGTTGTTTTCCTCCTGAAGCAATACTACGTTCTGCTCATCATCACTGACGGAGTGATCACAGACATGGATGACACCCGCAACGCCATCGTCAATGCCTCCCGTCTGCCCATGTCAATCATCATTATCGGAGTAGGGGGGGCAGACTTCAGTGCCATGGAGTTCCTGGATGGAGACGATGGACGCCTGCGTTCTCAGACTGGAGAGACGGCCATGAGAGACATCGTCCAGTTTGTGCCATTCAGGCAGTTCCAAAATGTAGGTGACATTACTTCTTATGTAACATGGAAATGCGGCTGGTGTCATTTTTTCCCCTCAATAAGACAACTCATTGCTATAAAACCTGCATGCAGACTTTTTTTCTGATCACTTTACTGCAACATTTTCAGTTTAACTGACTTCAAACTCACAAATATAGGGACGGCCATTTTTTTATCTGATCGCAGATAAAATTACTTAATTTTAAAAAGTGGTTCTGATGCAGTCGCCTCTCTTAGTCTGCAATTACTATTCTGCGATCCAAGACACTGAGAAAGACAGAGATGGAGAGACAGTATCACTCCCTGCTAAGCTAAAGTACCCATCAAATTCAAATAGGATCGGCTGGAAAGTTCCCTGAAATAAGAAGAGAGCAATAAGTGCTTGAGCAGAATAAGTGTACGTTTATATGTACAACAGTTAATAAGCTGTAATAAGTAATGAAGACAACATCAACATCAACATTAACTGAGTCGGGATAAAGCAGCAAAACATGCTAACACAGTAACACAGAGACATTGGAAATAAGACGGTACGCTTGTGTTCACAGCCACTCAGTGTTACTACTGACATCAAGCTCAAGTAGAAGAGAAATTACTTACAAAAGCAAGTCAGTAAAAAAATACTGGGAGTAAATGTTACTGCAGTTTGTTTTTAAAAGCAGGGAGCAGAGGTGTAAAAATGTTATGATGAAAATAATGAGGCAGTGGACAAAGTAATAGAGACATTATGTAGTGCTATTTTTGTATTGGATGTAATGCTATTCTAAATTTAAATTTGATGACTGTACATTTGTTCCAAGTTATAGTTCTTCTTGATTAATACTTATAAATAACTGTATCACCTGAAATAACGCACACATGGCCACCCCCCTAATTCTGAGCCCCTCAACTTAGATCTCTTAGCTTATTTGTCTACCTTGTGTATTTATGTCTTTGCAGGCGCCCAGCCAGGCTCTTGCCCAAAGTGTATTGGCCGAGTTACCTCAGCAAGTGGCCTCCTTCTTCAGTTTATTCAAACTGAAGCCTCCCCACGATCCCAGTCCTTCATAGGGGTACCCCGAATATTCAAAGTCATTGATCCACACCACCATCCTAGTCTGTGCTTGGCCCATATGAAATTGACTGGCACATTCACTCACTGCATGAATCACCCCATGAGGATGCTGCTATTCATACTTTTCTCCCTACTCGCTTCTCCAACCCTGTTGTGTTCAAGATTGTTCATATAAAAGGGTAAACTCCTCTCTCGATCACAAGATATACCAGTTTTAGTTCTGGGTTTATTATTTTATTTTTCTATTGGGTATTTCACAAATTCAATATATTTGCAGCATAGCTCAAATAACAGCTTCATATATTAGCAAACAATCTCTGGTTTTGTGTGAGTCATTGGATTCAAGGCTGGTACTCGTAACCCCAACCGAATATATTTTTTGCATGGCTGGTTTGTAAATAAAAAGAGAAGAGCAAGTTCAAGCAACGTATCTGAAGGCTGCCTGAAATATAGTGAGAGAAGTTCCATTGTGACAAAGGCTACGTCCACATTTCGGTTTTAAAACTCAGTAGAGCGCATACCTCAGCCTCCACCAAGGCCCAACAGCCCCTGGCTAGATCCGGATTTTAATTTGGATACGTCCCCTAAAATGTATCAAAATGTCAAAGAAAAGAAATTCCTCGATCCCCCCCAAAAGTGAATAGGATCTAATACATAACATAACATACGAAATCCATCTCTGTCCAGACGAGCATTTTAGCTCCGTACCAGAAGTTATCTCTGTCCATATAACACGCCTGTAAATGCACATCATGTCACCATACAATACACTACAGGATTTCTTTCCTTTGTTTGACGATGAGGTGGAACTGAAAGTGAGTGTGCACATCTCTTTTCATTCACTGCTGGTAGTCAAGACTGGAAAGTGTCTCCGTTTCTGCCCGTCTAGATTAAAATGTCCCCAGAGTTTATAAATCACAACAGAGTACACAAGTAATGTGTCTTAAAATTAGTGTGGATGTAGCCAAAGTCACATCTAGAGATAAAAACAAAGAGGGTGAAATTTTCCTTTCATCTGTTCTCATCCGCATGACTTTCTACCTAAACCATGATCATCTAATAAAGTCTGTGATGATAATGATCACAAAATGAATAATCTCTACATACACAATGAATGCTTTATACTTTTTTTAAAACTCGCTCTTTTGCACTACAGGCTCCAAAAGAAGCGCTTGCGAAGAGTGTGTTGGCAGAAGTTCCAGGTCAGCTGGTGGAGTTTTTCAATATCATGAAGCTGAATCCACCCGTCTCTAACCCTGGACCAAACCCTGCACCAAACCCTGCAGGGACCATCTGACAGTACGAGGAGGAAACCAGAGACACCACCACATCATCAGCTTCTCAGCATCGCATCTCATCAGGCAATTAGAAAATAAAACCCACCACTTAAATGAAACAGAAACACACACATGCTTCATGAACACTCCACACTCCTGACCAGTTTCTCTTCTTAAAGTGTCACAATACATGTAGCTGTTATTAGACATTACCATCCATGTATGTTAATTTTTTAGCAGGTCGTCTGTGTTGTTAAATCTTAATAAAAGAAAATCATTAATTAATTCCACCATTTCGGCAATAGGCAGAGAATTGCACTTTTAAAAAGATTTCCTGAAAAGAAAAAAGTAGAGTTTCTGTTGTATTTACTAAAACAAGACTCTTCATGTCCCAGTCAGAAGGTCTTATTACATGATTTTTGAAGTCATTGTTGTGGAAAAAAACGCTTTAGAGCCTTTAAACTCCACTTTGACAGCTCTTTCCTATATCTACATAATGAAAAGCAAAAGAAAAAGGATCAGGTGTGACAGACACATACAAATATATGCATGTTCATCATAAAAATGTCTGTGTTGGATAAAAAGTGGCATTAGGTGCTTGTTCCGGCATCGCATGACACCTTTTGTAAACTACCCTCCTGCTGGTTTCAATGCTTTATAAGAGTGTGCCATTTATATTGTTTTATATGTCATGCCTGTTTGGCTGCAGCGATACATATAAAATGTAAGAGTCAAGAAGCATAGATAGGTCGCAGTTGTAGTTGCATATTTTTTACATCCATACTATTTGTAGCTTTGTAGTTTCTGTTGTATTTGGCACATGGAGTATATATTTGCATTCATGCCTCTTGTTGCACTTACCCATAATATGATATAAGTATGAATCTGAAACATTTTGAGGACTGGAAAAAAATTCATTGACATTTACGACCATTTAATTATTTAGTTAAGGTTAAGTCTCTGTTCAGGAACCGGTTTCAACTTTTTAAAGATGTTTCTGGAGCCTTGTTACTGGTGAACACAAACTGAACATCAAAAGATTTATGGAGAATTTTTATCACAGGACTGTTGGATTAGTGTTAGTTTCTAATAAACTGACATCTGAGTGTATCAGTATTACGCAAGCTCACCGTAGAAGGTAGACACAGTACAGTTTATTGATATTCTTTCAATGTCATGTCCATTGTGATGTTAATCCTTTTTTTATGATTTATACCATGAACTCTAGAAAACATGTATGTGATGTTTCATGCTGAACAGAAATAAATCACGTGCCTTAGTGTCAAAATCCAAAAAGTGCATCAAGCTTCAATAAAGTACCTCTAATTCACTACTAACTGAACTGTATGCTTATTTAACAGATTTAAAGTAAATCATCAGCACTCTGAGTCGGTCCCAAAACAAAGAACTCAATAACTTTTTTAGCAGATCCAGGATTTTATTTTTTTACCATCAAGGTAAAATCAGAATTACAGTCATCTACTGCCAATGACCACAATCGTATTTTATTGTGTAAAAGAGTACAAAGATACAGAGTGTTACATGTTGTGACTGTTCACCTCATTCTAACGACCTGTACTCAGGCACTTGATATCAGATGTTAGGTGTCATCTGATCAGTCTGAGACTCCTCATAAGAATTGATTACCTGACAGACGTCCTTCTTTTCTAAAGACAAAAGAGACCTGCTCTACTAACATCACCTCATGTGCTGATAAATGCACCTCAGAGCCACAAACCTACTATAAACCACGTCCTCTATTATGTTTAACAAGGCTAAACATCCTCTGCCTCCTCTTCTAGTGCGGAAACCCCACACGTGCTGCTACCACCCTGACAGAAAGTAGTCTGTGATTTTCAGAGGTGTCAGGTGCTCGTGTGTCAGGTGCGGACTGGATTCACTCCGGTAGAGCCTGACCCTGGCTGTGTGTGTTACATGCGGTGGATGTTGTCGTGATCCATGAACTGTTTGAGGTTGTGCAGGTTGTCCCACCACTGGAAGAGGAAGGTCTCAGCGATGAGGCTGAACCAGGGCGTGATCAGCAGCTCCTTGCGCTTGGCCTTGTTCAGCATCTCCTTCAGCTCCTCCTTGCTCACGTAGCAGTGGGTTTTGATCTCATTGGGGTCTGGACTCAACTCCACATCCTTCAGAGAGACAGAAAAATCAAAAGACTGAATAATTTGAACTGAGACATCTGTTGTTATACTGCAGCTCTTGGGGTTCACAAATGAATTAAAAAAAAATCATATATGCACCTATCATGTTTCCCTGTGTGAGAATTAGGTTTCAATGTCACTGTCCTTTAAAGGTCTATCCTCAGGTTGTGTTCTCGTGCTTTTTCAGATGCACTGGAAATTCAAAATAGACCTAGTTTGAGTGCCTTGAAAAGTGAGTAGGGTGAGAAATAATTCAGAGCGATGCAGCAGTCGAGCTCGGAGAAGGTAGCCTGCGACCTGCAACTCTACACGAAATGTTTGGGACTGACCGGATTTAGTTGGAGATTTAAAACACTGTTCTCAGTGAAAACAAAGCAGTGGGAAGTTTGAACATAAAATATTGTCATTGAGTCATAAGACGGACGTTCACTGGATCAACATCAGCTCCAGGTTATGCCTCATATACATGATCATAACACAGAGCTAAACATTCTTCTTGTGTGATTCCAGCAATCTTTGAAAAACCAAAAGGTTCCTGTGAGGGTACAGGCAGGTGGTGCACTGGTCTGTGCTCAGAAACTTGTGTCAAATTCCTTCAGTTATGTGTTGTTCGAATCAAACATGCAGATGTTTAATTTCTGGCCACGTAGACAGGACATAGAGGCACAGTCTGGGAAGTTGGTGGAAAGGTTTTACATCCAGATTTGAGAGGACGAGAAACACCAACTGAGGCTTGATGGCCCTATGTAACTCAAGTCTAAGACCAGCAGATGTCACAGTGTCACCTTCTGCATGAAGAGGATGTAGTCGATCTCATGTTCTCCCCAAACACCGTCTGACTGGGCCTTGTAGTGGATTCTTGTTAGATACGTCATTTCTTCAGGTGTCACCTGAGGCACAGGAGATCAGATGTTCATTACATCTCTTGATAATCCTCTTCCATCCAATGTGGAAGCCGGGATACAACCACACCCACACAGTATTTTACCTGATCCATGGGAATGCCCAGTTCAGCCTTGAGTCTCCTCTGAGCAGCTCTCCTCACTCCAATAACATCTTTCTCTTCCAGCTCACTGTCTGTGTGTAAGGGATGACTGCAGCATGTGTTTGTGAAGCAGCCTACACACACACACATACACATGAGATGGTTGAACTCATTGCCTAATAATGCTGGGACTTCTTATGTGTGTCAATCTGGGAGGTTTAATGTTGTGCTGCTGACCTGGAAAGGTGATTTTGGCATCAGACCGCTGTTGTAAGAGCAGTTTCTCTTCACTGTTGAAGATGAAGACACTGAAAGCTCTGTGTAATAAACCTGGTAAAACAAAGACACTGTTTACCACCAGCACAGATCTGACATGGGCTTAAAAGAAGAAGAATACTACAGGTGTGTGTGGTGTTTCATCATGGAGGCCACACCTTTATCAATGTTGGAGTTGAGGTGGCAGTTCTTCTTGGTATCGGCTCCGATCTTTTGGTCGTCCTCGTCGATGAGGATGCACATTTCAGCCAGCAGCTGCACCTGCTTCTCATCCAGGTGATCTGTGGTGATCTCAGGCATCTTGACTGCAGACTGCAGGTGTCTCACCTCACTGCAGAGCGACAGGGAGCAGAAGGACAACAGTGTTTCAGATCAGAACAGGAGCTGTGCACTTTTTTTAATGACCTTCAGAACGCAGCAGCTACTATGTGACCACTATGTGTACCCCTGTACAAACGTGAAGTTTACAAACTAACCCAAACAGATTTTATGCTGTGTTACGGCTTCTCTGACAATGTGCTTACTTTAAAAAAGAGAACCGCTTTACACTTTTTAAATAACTGAATGATCCATCTACTATCAACAGTTCAATTTTTCATACAAAACCACAAATCCAATTATTAAAAGTACTATTATTTAAAAACATATACTTATAAATGAATACCAATATTATAACAGCTTATTTATTTTAACCATTATTACAATGACTTTAATTAAAATATTAAATAAGTTAAACCATAGAAAATAGAAATATTTAGATGTATCATTTCAATTAAAGATGATTGCAATTATTTAGGTTCCATACAATGAATTGAATCATTTACAATATGAACATGTTGCAGTAATAAGTTCCCAGGTTTGACCACAAGTCAGGTACAAGACAAGTCCAGCTGGCAGCATGAACTCCAGCCTCAACATGAAGTTTTGTACTGATAAGTGCAGCTTTCCTTGTTTTGTGTGAGCCGAATTAAAGAGACCAGGCTCAGAGTGTGAGCTGATGCTTTTAAAGTGTGAACTTCAACCAACACACAGAGCCGCATCCAGGTGAAGATGTTTTTAAACGGAGTCTGGCAGAAGTGTTTGTGTTGATGTGGGACACCAGGCTATCAACAGCAGCTCAGCTCCGGGTCCCACAGATCTCAGTCCTCCGTGTCTCCAGACTCGCAGCTCCACCTGACCGACGGTCACAGCTGCACGCAGAGGCTGGGCTCACCTGGAAATCGTCCTGCGGCTGATGGCGGCGGTGAGTCCGGGTCCGCTCCTCCGGGCTGCGGCTCTAACGGAGATAGGTACGTTTGGTTTGCGCGCAGCTGCAGCGGCGGATCCCTGGCAGGACAATCTCCGCAGCACCGCCCACACAGACCGCACCATCACCTGACGAGGAGGAAAACCAATCACACGGAGCGACGCGGTGGCTGTCGGTAAAAACTGCAGAGGAGTTCCGTCAATCAGGACGGGACTCTACCCTGCTGATAGCACCAGGGCACGGGGACACATCAACTACAACTCCCATCAAAAGTATCTGCAGTTTCATGACATCAACTCCCTTTTAAAGTATCTGCAGTGTCCTAACGTGTAGTTTCTGACCAACAGGTCAACGCCTTGTGAAGTTCACCACTGACCAGTAGCAGACTTCAACAACTTCACAAACCCAGGATGCCAACGCCAAAAGAACTCACTGCTCATAAGCCGTAACTATGATTGTTACACTGATTATTCATATATCTAATGCTATTTGTTAAGGATCATGTATTGATAGCTTAATCTGAAAAAGAAATTCACAACAAAACAAATGTCGGTCCCATTATTATTATTTGACAAATCACTGCATCCTAAAAATATGTAAAATAAAAATACAGCAAAATTGCTGCAATTCTAATAGTATTAAAATGGCGCTGCAAGCACCATAGGTAAAAGTACTCCAACCCTGTGAGGGATATATAATTTTTTTTATTGTGGGGAAATATTATAACAAAAGCATAATCAATTCTGGGTTAATAACAAGGTGCCATATTTTAAAACTCATTGTTTTTTCATTTATTAATAATTGTATCCTACATTAAGCCAGAAGGTCCCACTGAGGAGCAAGAGCTTTGTTTAGACAGTGGAACAAACAGCCTGAAAAAAACAATGATATGCATCTTTAACTGTGATTCACCACATCCTGTGGATATACATTACATTACTTCCCAAGCATTTCTGCACGATTCCGGTTTGCACTACTCTCATCCTATCCACCATTTACCTTATGAAGGCATACTATGTTGTACTGTGTACTATGTTTTGAGTACTTATTATGTTGCGTACTTTTATGTTTTGTTTTAGCGTCCGTTTATGTTCTGTCTCATATATGTTTACACCGAGGATCAGAATGAAACAGCATGTCTATGTCCTGTGCATATGGCAGAAATGACAATAAAGTTTACTTACTTAAATTTGATTTTGTAAATACCTAGAAACTACAGGTACATGTAATAATCTAAAGTATATATTTCCCTCTGGGTGATATTGTAGAAGAAGCATAAAGTGGAAATACTCAAATTACGTAAAGGTACGTTAAAATAAATGCATGTACTCTCCATTGGTTAATCGTGTCACTTTGACCTTTACAGTGTCAGAGACCTTGTGATCCAGGTCCAGCAGTTTCAGTTCCGGGTTTTGTAGTGAGCACGTCATCAGACCACATCTCAGCCCGCACCACCCAGACCAGTGACAGCTGAACATAAGTATGCACTGTGACACACACACACACACAGATACACACACAGATACACACACAGACCCACTGCCTACACACAGACACACAACACACTCACTTACTCACACACCTCTCCGCTGTGTCGCTGGACGATCTGTGTCTTTTTTTACCTCTTCCTGCTCACAGCGACATTTTAGCAGCTCCGCGATGACGTCCGAGCTTTCGCTCCCTGTTTCTGACGTCATCGCGTCCCATTTGTTGACGCCGCATCGGCGCGGCAGCTCATTGGCTCGGAGGGAGTCACGTGACGCGGAAGTTGAACGACGTCGATGTGTCTGAAAAAAATGGCCTCAAATGTTTGTTAGCTGTTGAACTGAAGCCACGCGTCCGCAACATGTTGAATGATACAAGTTAATATTTCACGTCGTCGTTGAGAAGTTCGTCCAGCTCCGCTCTGCTCGGTGCTATGTGGGGGTTAGCCGCGTTAGCATAGAGCTAGCGCAGCCTCCAGAGCTTCATGCGGGGCGAGGGTGAAGTCAGACAGGCAGTCACAGCGGTGAGTGTCGGTGCTGCTCAGGGGGTGAAAGTCGTGATGTTAAGTGAAGCACCTTCGTGCTCTAACATGTACAATACATTCATGCAGGTCTTGTTGCATGTCATTTTGCCACTCGTGGTATTTCGCAAACATTAGCTAAAAAGCTATAGTCGGTGCTACGTCCGGATGCTAATGACGTTGCCGATGATGATAGCACGACCCCGCATAGCCCCCAAAATGCACTCTTATGTAAAGACCTTTTGCCAGACTCCATTTAAAAAAACCGTTAATTTAAAATATACACTTCTGTTGGCAAACACAGGTACAAGACAGGAGAAGCATTTTAGTCTGCGGAGATTCCCCGACTTCGAGTAGAAAATTCGGGTGTGATACAATTCACCAAGAAACGCACACTAATTCGACAGAATGTTTAATATTCCAGTAGCTATGCTTAGGGTTAGAATACGAGGTTTAATAGAAATATCAATACAATTAAAATTGTGCAGCACATTTTTGCTTATAGGTGAAGCAGCATTGAAAGAACTGTGTGTAATATACTCTGTTTACAGTACACTACTATACACTATGTTTTTATAGATCGATATGATATTGATTAGTAAGTGCAATGTCATCCAATATGTGCAACAATTCCCATGTCTGTTCACATCATATGTATATGTTTATTCAATATATGTAATTTAATTCACTCCTATGCAATATCTTAATGTCTTTTATTTATCTACTTATTGTTTTGTTTTATTTATTTATGTATTCATTTATTTATTCATTATTGTAGAAAGCTTTTATACCTACTTAGGGAACCCATAATATTTCAAATAACATCCATGAGCTGGATGCAACATAATTTCACTCCACTCTGCACTTGTCTTATCTGTGGTCTGAATGATTATAAACTGAAATTTGAATTTTAAAATGCTGGATTTATGCAATATGAGGCCAATGCTGCACCAGAAAGGAACCTAAACCCTTAATATATATATATATATATATATAGGTTTGACTTCTTTGCATGAGCTTGACCTCCTTTTTCTCTGCAGGTAGATGGTGGAAACACGCTGACCTAACCCACCTGCTGCCCAACCAGCGAGCTTGGCCTTTGTTTACCTGCCTCTCAGGTAGGACGTGAGCAGAGGGGAGGGGAAGGGGGGCAGGGCCACCCAGCCGGTAGGAGGGATGCCTGTGGAGGGCGGAAGCAGCAGCGGCTCTGCGTCAGCCGCCCGCCACCCCAAACAGAAACGCAAGGCTCACAGTTTGTCTATCCGGCGCACCAACAGCACCGAGGACAGGCCTCCGGGCATCCAAAGAGGAGACATGCTGGAGGGACAGGTGAGGGAGATGCATACACACTCACGCCTTTTCACTTTCACTCCCTCTCGCACAAACATGCAGCTTTAAAGGCATGTATTTGAAGGCAAGAGCCAAAACGTTGGAGGAATATTTTAAAAAACATCCTTGTTTATTTAGCATCTGACTGTCACTGAGTACCAGCCGGTTGAGCAGCATTTCTCTTATTGTCTAGCTGGTGTAACAACATCCAAAGCTTCCATGTGGTTTTGACATGTGTTTTTTCCCTACTGTAAATGCTGTTTTAAAGCTAGCCCCAATGGAATAATCTTGGTTTGATAGCAGTCGTTTAGATTTGACATCTAAACATAAATTAACAGTCTGGTGTGGATGTGCATGTCAGTGACTGATTATTTCTGCTGAAACAAAAGAATCGACTGTTAATTTTAAAGCTAACTAGTGACAACAAGTTAGTGATTAACCATCCTCAAACATTTAAAAGTCCAGTGTATAAGATTTAGGTGAAAGGGAACTATTGGCAGAAATTTAATGTAGAATAATCCTCATGATGTTTTCACTAGTTCATTTCATCTAAATTGTATGAATTGTAGTTTTCGGTACCCCCGAAAAAGCCTTTTATATTCAAATACTTTATATTTACATCGAGGGGGCCCTCTCTTCGGAGGCCACCATGTTTTTTACATTAGTCCAGACTGGACAAACTAAACACCTTTTGAGTTTTTATGACAATTAAAGGCTAACACAGGTTATTTTTCATGTTTGGAAGCAGAGGGTGAGCTGAGGGGTGTTCAGCTGCAACATGCAACGTCAACACTAGATATCACAAAATTCTACACACTCTACCTTTAAAGTGGAGCTACAATTGATTTATTTCAGCCAGAAATGGAAGACTACTCCACTTTTTGATGCAAAAACATTTATTAATGAAGCAAATGGCAGGTCTATGCCGCTAAGATAATAAAAACTGTCTGTTTGATCAACATCTCCATGGTTGTTAACTTTTGGGAGTTGGCTGGAGGGCTGACCTCATTAACAGTCGTCTCTCAGATAAGATCCATAAAGTGTTTGTGAGTTAATGTCAAGTGGTTTGGATTCTATCATTGTGTCTTCAGAACCTTCTGGTTTTCAGAATCAAAATTGTTTTTTTTTACCAAGGAGGGTTAAGCATTCAAGAAATTTGCTGTGGTATGTTTGTGCAAAAGCATAAATAAAAAAATAATTAACAATTATTAACACTAAAAAAGATATAGCCATGTAATGTTCACATTTCAAAGTCACTGGTGAGTTTTAAAGCTGCTGCACATTAGAGGATTTTCAACTCTTGAGTTATTTTTAAAACGTGGGAGACCACACATAATGACAGATTTAACCGGTTTTAATTTTATAATCTTCAGAATGCACATGCTAGATGATTTGGCCAGAACCTAAGACCACACACTTGCTGTTTGTATGTTATGATTTCACAGTGGCAGATACTTGAGATTATTCTTTTTCTTCTGTTTTTTTATGATGGTTGGCACTCAACTTTTAGGTGCATTACCACCATTTTCCGTACTGGAGTGTGGAGCACTTGCCTGATTGAACGTGACTTCAGAAGAAAATTAAACATGGAAGAGGACCGATGTTGTGTGTTCTGTTTGGAAATGTATTGTTTTTTTAGTCACAGCTGTACAAGTACGCAACATCCAGTTGGTGATGCCTCCCAATTTTTGTTGGAGCCGATTATTATGATTCGAGATCGGGGAGGCTCCGACTCAATCAGTAGCATTAAGCATTAAGGTCCTACATCGGCTCTAATGTGCAGCCTTTATAAATTTATGCAGTGTAATGCTGGGATCCAGGTCGTTGTTGGACTATTCATTATCTAGACTTTATATTAAACTGTTATGTAAATAAATAATGTGATAGTTGATTTTTGTCTGTATTCACCAGCCCGTGGAAGGCTTTTAGACTTTACTTTCTCCGCTCGACCCTATCCTTGAATTATCAGTGTCTAAATCCAGAGCTCAGCTTGCATTGGCCGGTTGTCTCATCAAGTTTTAATATGGGCTGCTTGTCCGTGTCTGATTAATCTTTTGACCAGGCCTTTTTCCCCTCCATTGCTGAGCCATGTCGGCTCTGTTTATGCTCCTAGTCCACCCTCCTGCCACACACAGCACAAGTTCCACTTAGACAGACAGCTTTACAATCCCACTAGTAGCACACAGAATGCATTTTCTTTCCCACTTTGAATGCCGTCATTATTAACCATAGTGCACTGCAGGTTTAAAGGCCATACCTAAGCTGCTTTGAATTCATAAGGACTGCCCGTTGTTTGCTAATTGACATATTTGTGTGCTGACAGAATGGTCAATTTGACAAACTGTTGGTGCCAGAAGAAAGAGTTGAGTGTTAAAGTATGTGGTTTCCTCAACTTTCAGACGGTTGTAGAAATTAGAAGCAGCTCTCGAGGTGAGCTGTCAAACGCAAGGCTTTTGAGTCCATTGTGTTCACAGCAGCCTTTACATCTCTTTGCATGTCAGTCTGCTTCAGTCTGGTGGTCATCTGATAACAGGGTGCTTCCAGGAGTTTATCATGGAGGTAAGTCAGTGGTAATAGAGAGTTGGTTGGACTCCAGCTGGTGTGTAGTCAGTTGATTGTTGGCAGGTTATGGTTTTGTTTTCCTCAGTGTAGCAGAGCATAAGTGCAGATGGTGGCAGATGAAATCGGTTAAATATACAGGATGTGTTTGATAAGAGATTTATGTGGGTTTCTGTCTGTCTGTGTATTTTATGAGTCACCTAAACTTCTCTTTGAACAGCGATTATACAAGATGTTAGATATACTGTTATTGATATAGAGACACTTTTTTCTGTGTGAAATTGTACCTTCTCATGTCAGCAACAGCATCTTCAGGTTTGAATATATCATTTTAGGAAATTGTTTTATGAATTTTAAGCACACCATATTACTCTATAATTACAAAAGAATGTGGGGGGAATAAAGTGAGGTCATTTATTTTTTTTGATACTGGATTTTTAGGCTGATATTATCTGAAGTTTCTAAAGGTTTCTTTTGCTTGTGTTTGCAGGACTCCAAGTTGCCCCTCTCCTTACGAAACAATCTCCTCGACCTTTTTGGCCAAATCGAGCGCGAGTTTGAAAATCTTTACATCGAAAACATTGAATGTGAGTAACTTACTTTTTACCTCATCGTATTGAGCGTCAGGTGTTGATTGACTAACCAGATGGTTTGAGAGGTCAGGCAATGTTTGCTAACTGGTGCCCTGTCACTGTGCTAACATTACAGTACGCCGGGAAATCGACTCCCTGAATGAGAGACTGACTGGAGATGGACAAACAATTGAGGGAGGAGACCCCACCAAGGGAGCGCTGAAAACAAAAGGTCCATTATTCCTTACACACACTCTGTACTTCATAATACGTGTAACAAATGTGGCATTCAAATTAATGTGTATATTTCTATAAATGTATATGTATCTCACTGCCATGGGGACTGGAATATTCAGCCTGGATGACTGACATCGAAAACTTCCATTCCTTCAGCAATTGAAGCTGTTACCTGTAGGAATTTTAAAACAATGTAGTGTTCATTTATTATCTTTACAATATAATAAAGGAGTGCAGCAGGAAAGATGAACTTAAAAGTCTGATTGTAGGACTGGTTGAGCATTTGACAGGAAGCTTAACCTGAAAAGTAGCCTGACCAGGCCAATCTGTAAGGATATATTTCCATGGTAACCCTTTTTAAATCTCCTTTACAAAAGAGAATTTCATGAAAATAAGCCTTTTTTAACTGGTAACTCCTAAAATAACATGTCACATGTCACACGTTTTCAGAAGTGGTTAACAGCCGTTCACACCAGTTGTTTGTCTCTCCGTCACACAGCCAGCCACAGCACCAGTCAACTGTCACAGAAGCTGAAGACGACCTACAAAGCCTCTACCAGCAAGGTACCTGAACCCTGCTTTGTTATCCCTTTCTACAGAGCCTGTCAAATTTGTCATCTGTGTAATCATCTGAGATGCTGGGATTCAGGCCTGGTGTCATGGTAACAGACTGTTACAATTACGGAAGGAAGTGTTTTTTGGCAAACCGTTGTCGTTGAACATTTACATTTCTGATGTAATGATGGACGTTAATTAATCAAACTCTGTGTGATATTTAGTCTTCTTCTGTTTTTTAAACTCTGATGTAGAGCTTGTACACTTTCCACGGCAAAATATGTGGACCTTGCAACTTCAGTTTGGCCACATGGGAGTTGTGGGGCGGAGATTCATGGGTAACTTCCTGAATGCTCTGTTTGTTTTCACTAAGCATTGTGGGGGAGCAGCTGTGGGCCGAGTCTCTCTTTTTACTAAAGTCTGACCTTGACTCCTCATCTCTTCTCTGCTCTGCACCCTGGCATGTGGTCATCAGGGTGAACGGCTCGATTGTTAAATCTAATCAATTACAAAACATCGGACTGATTTTACCACATCCTAGACCTGATTATCAGGAGGCGGGAGGATTGCATTTAAACAGTCTTGTTTCAAACTGAGCTGCCAGTTCATGTAGCTAACATCTATCTTGACTTTGTCCAAAGTGAAAAAGCTTGATTATGATTCATATGTAGCTTTCTTAATGTAACCAATCTAGGGATAAATGACAAGAAACCTATTGCAATAATTTTTGACAGATGAGTCATAATTGTAGTGGGAACAGAAAAATAATGATGATTTGATTTTAGCTGAGGTCGTACTAGAGCTACACTGAATTTGAATTTGCTACACAGATTTTGTTTTGATTGCCAATGATTCCTAAGATGTCAATATCAAACCCCTTTGACAAAAAAATGAATTGAGATGTGGTATTTTACAGTTAACCAGAAAACTTGATTGTAAATAACTGTAAATAAATATATAAAATTTGAATTTAGAAAATAAACAGTCTTAGATAAAATGTAAAACATAAATGCACATCTTTCCTGCATTGTTAACTTTAAATAATAATTTATATCTTATCAATTTTTTATATTAGCACATCAGCATGTCAGCAAACACTGATAGTGATATTTCTGTAAAAGGCTCATATCAGCAGACATTATCTGCCAACCAGTAAATTGATTCCTCAGTCTCTTATTTTCCTTTCTCTTGCTGTCCTTTTGAAGCAAATATATAATATTAATGTAATGTGAATGCAGCCATTGTGTGAGCTGGATGAAGAGTGGGACACAGTCATCCTCTAATTAAAAAGACAGAAACAGAGGATACATGGGATCAAGGGAGGACTTCTTAGATTAACCTCCTGTCAGAACTAGCTGCTACTTAATATACAGCTAACCCATCAGCTGGCTAAGAAACATGACCACAAACTAATTCTGTTCTGACCGAAAGGGACATGAAACTAATCATCTGCACTAACTATATCCTTAGTTTACTGCTGGGATGAGCTTATCCTCTTGTTGCTCACTGCTCTTCAATGTCTTCTAATGACAGTAAACAAATGAGATGGCAGTATAGTGTAATGTGAGTGTAAACTCAGCAGACAGAATGAGAGCATAGATTAACACAGGCTGACACATGTGAACCAGATGCTTCGCTGCTGCATCTAACGACTCGCAGTGATCTGAGCTTATTGCAGTGGTCAGCCGTCCGCTTGCAGCAGCATGAACACTGCAGGTTGTGATCGCTCTCTGACAAGTAAACAGACCAATAGATCGTCTCATTTTACAGGTGCAAGTGCACAGTGCTTCCATCTGCTGGTACTTGAATTGGAGTATGAGCAGTCCTGATATAAATACTCCAGTGACACAGTTTGGTGCAATTTGAAACTCTAAACCTAACGGCAGTGGCAGAGTCATGCTCTCATGTAAAAAACAATCCTTGTATGTGTCATCTAGGATGAACACACACTTGACTTTTTTGAGCTTTTGAGGCCTTTGTCACCAAGCAAACTCACTTTGTTTTGAACATTTTCTCCCTGCCAGGTTACTGTTGGAATAATAATTCAATTTTTCCAGAGAGCTGTCTGGCTGTCGACAGGTTTTGATCTGATCCTTTGATCTGATCCTTTGGAGATAAACCTGCAGTTAAAAGTGAATCGGCTTCATGATGCCAGAAAACCTTGAGTCAAGCCCAAAGACAGCGGCTAACCCGCTAATCTCCCTATGTGACACAGGCCCTCCAATACTTTGTCTTATCTGTTCATCTGTTTGTCAGAGAGCAGCAATAAACTGTGTGACGAGTGTCAGAACTACTTCTTGCAGTCTGCGGGATGGTCATGTAGCCACATTTCAGTTAACAAACACAGCCTTATTTCTTTAACTTTGTTCAGCCATGTAAGCTAACCAAGATCACGCCCCTCTCTTTTTTTTCTCTTTGTCTCACCCCCCCATCACTTCCCTCCCCTGTTCAGATTGTGTCCAGTTTCAAAGCCACTGCAGGGTCTCGGGCTTTGTGTCAGTTGCTCAAGGAGTATGTGGGTCACCGGGACGGGATCTGGGACCTCAGTGTCACTCGAACTCAGCCTGTGGTCCTGGGCACCGCTTCTGCAGGTACACCAAGTCACTTCATTGACTGTTTACATTTACTGCATTGTTTTTTTTTGCATGGCCAATATGCTGTGTAGTGGCTTTCAATAGGGATAATTAGTCAAGACCGTAGGTGCTGTGTTCACATAATTTAATATAAATAGAAAAGTGTCCACTTGTATGAAAAAATAATATTGTCAAATAAATTCTGACGCCTGGATGTAATGAGAGAAAAATAAGAGCACAGAGGATATTATTATTATTATTTTATATTTCTTTCCATGTAGGTCAGTTGTTTTTTTGTTTCTTGATTTTTTTCTCCAAATGGAACACTATGTAAAAACAGCACATTACAACATCATTAGCTAATAAAACGGCTTGTTGTCCCCCTGCTCCCTCACAGACCACTCGGCTCTGCTATGGAGCATAGAGACTGGGAAATGTCTTCTGAGATATGCTGGTCATGCTGGATCAGGTAATGAGAAACTTCATTGATCAAAGATATGTAGCAAGTACTGTTGTGTAACAGGTTAACATCACAAATATGTGCCGCAAGTAACTGTCAACATTTGCTCACATGAGTCGTTTGATGACATATACGTGTCTCATCATTTATCCACAGTCAACTCCATCAAGTTCCACCCCACAGAGCAGATGGCCATCACAGGTTAGTATGTGAGCACATGTGCGTTTATGATGAGGCTCTTCATGACAGTTTGACTGACGTTTTCCTGCCTCTGCTGCTTTATAGCCGTCAGTTCTGTGTGGATGTGAATGTGCTGCATGTTTGTTGATGTGCACTTCTGTTTGCACAGCCTCTGGGGACCAGACGGCTCACATCTGGCGCTATATGGTGCAGCTTCCTGCCCCCCAGCCACCACCAGATGTCAGTGTGAGTAGCTTTGTACTGTTCTCCCAGGGTTTATATTGGATGGTCCTGGAATTTGATAGATGTATTACCACCAAAGGATGCATGTTAAAACTATTTACATTTACAAATAGGTCACTTTAATTTTCATGATATATTAACTTTTTTCTGCATTAAAATGTTTAAAGACCTAGACCTGTGTTTTATATATTTTTTTGAGTTGTGTTCTCACTTTATCCAAAACATTTCCACTCATTTTCAAACCTACAGAAATCTGTAATTTATTTTAAACTGTAATTTTAAGATAATGATCTGTTTCATGTGACTAAACAAATGTAATGACCTCTAGCAGCAGAAATACCATATTGTGCATTTAATTTCACTAATCCATCACTGATTTACTGGACGCCTGTCCCTCCACAGGCTCCTTGTGATGATGACCAGGACTCGTCAGACCGAGAGGAAGGAGAGGTGGATGGAGAGGGCCCGTGCGAGGTCCCCACCGTCCGGGTGGCTACAGCGACCCTGAAGAGTCACCAGGGTGTAGTTATCGCAGCCGATTGGTTGGTTGGGGGCCGACAAGTGGTGACAGCTTCCTGGGATCGTGCTGCCAACCTGTATGAGGTGGAGACGTCTGAGCTGGTTCACACACTCACTGGTAGGTAAACAGGCTAATACTACACCATAGGCCCTATTCACACCTGGTATCAGCATGTATTTCATTTCTGTTTGAGGAGACAAAATTATGTTATTTATAGCCAGTCTGACACAGGTCTGATCGGATATGTTCGTGTTTCCACTCCCTACGGCCAGCAGCTTTGCTTAGTATAAACATAGATGGTGAATGTCCTGTTACTGCATCTGATGTTGCACACATGATCCCCCATGACACCATACAAATAAAACATATGGCTAAAAGTGTGTGTGTGTTTGCAGGCCATGACCAGGAGCTGACCCACTGCTGTACCCACCCTACCCAGCGTCTGGTGGTCACCTCATCCAGAGACACCACCTTCAGACTCTGGGACTTCAGAGACCCGTCCATCCACTCTGTCAACGTCTTCCAGGGACACACCGAGTAAGTCTGACACACGCACAAACACACACAAACACTGCACCTGGATGATACGTCTAGTTACTGCAGTCTTCATTATGCCCACAGGGTGGTGCTGTAGCATCTCTCTTGTCTGTAAATCCCTTCATCAATTTCAGTTATTTTCCTTTTACTGAGCCACGTTAATTTACAGACCGTGCTGCTGTAAGCCAAATCCTCCACTCTCCTCTCATTCATTACGGAGCACCTCTCTTTACTTCGGCGGCTTTCTCGTTCTTCTCCGTCTCCCTCTGTCTCCCTCCCTCACTCTCCTGTTCATTTATCTGTCCGTTTCTGCGTTAATCCCCCACACTTGCTTGCTGTTAACACTCAATTGCAGCCGTTCATTTCAAAATGTTGACTGTCAGGCTTGTCTGTGACTTTCAATGGCAGCACTCTATAAAGAGTGTAGGAAGTGTGTGTGTGTGTGTGTGTGCGTGTGCGTGTGCGCGCGTGCGTGTGCGCGCATGCGTCTACATGTGCGTGCTGGCTGGCTGGGAGCCTTTGATTGCAAGTGGGGGATTACATAGAGCTCATTATGTACGACCCCAACATGTATAATTCCTGCAGATCCCACTTTAATTCTCTCCCATAGACAATTGTTGTAATGAGATTAAGCACCAGTGTTTCACAGTTAACGAAAGCCCTCCTCCTTCCCATCCCTCCGTCCTTATTTCCTTCCCAAATGGCCATTGATGCTTTAAAGACCCCCTCCAAAGACATCCCACTGTTATACCTTGTTAACTTGTCCAAATACTGTGTTTATGAGTGACAACAACACCATGGCTGAGCATTTCCAATGTGGAACAGCAGTGAACCATTGACAGTATCAGTAATATGAATTCAGACAGCCAGGGTTACTGAATCATTTGTTATTAAAAACTGTCAAAAGATAGTGAGTGGTGTCTCAAGGTTAATTTATGCTGCCTACATATGAGAAGAGTTATGTTGGCATAGCTGTTTTAGAACAAAGGACAAGATAGTGAATATCCCTTGGACATATTCACCATCTTGTCCAATGTTCTAAAACAGCTACGCCAACACTAGGGGTGTAACAGTACACAACAATCACGGTTCGGTACGTTTTCATTCAGTAGAAACAAGGAACAAAAAACAAGTGATTTGTTTTTATTCAACCCTTTTGGACTGAGCAGACTATGGCTGTCTTTCTTCCCTAAGTAAATTTTACGAAAGTTAAACAACAAAATAAGCATTCTCTTAAATAAATAAAATAATAGTAAAATAAATAGCCATTAAGTGTTCCAAATAAAACTACTAGTTTGATGCTCTGCTGGTCATAACAATGTTTCCCACTGTGGGCTGGTATGACTTGTTGGCTGAAGTGGATGAAAGGGAACTTCGTAACAGGGCTCGATTACTAGTGTGAATTTGAACCCTGCATTCCCAACAACAGAGGATGGTTGGTATGTTCAATGTGCTACCAGCTACATATCCGATAGCAGTTACACGATATTGACTTTTGTACAATCCACTCGTCTTTGTTTTTCGTCATCATAGTGACTGTGACACTGAAGTGTTCCCACACAGCAGACGTAAATGATGAGGGAGGGTCTTCACACTCCTGTTTGTCTGTGGTCGCTATGACCATGAGCCTACAGTACATCCGATCCTTCACTTTAGTTGTACCATGGAATTTAAGACCCGTACGCACACAAATAAGCTCCGCATGTGGACTCGCTGCATTCGTTCAGTACACGTGTACCAAACCTCAAGACCCATACTGAAAATGTTCAGTTTGGATACATGTACCCTAGCCAACATAGTTGTTAAGCAAAACATCCAATAGAGGGCAGCGCAGAGAAAAGTTTCTGATGACAATAACAAACATAGCATACATTGTGATAATGCATGATGTCCCTGTGCCCGGAAAAAATTGACATAAAATTGATTCCTATAGTTTCCTTACCAACTCTTAAAGTCTCCTTGCTTCCCTCCCTCTTGTCCTATGGTTGAATGCTTCATCTGTTTTCCTATATGTATCTAAATGAGCCTCAGATATCTTGTTCTGTCTGATCAAATTCAGAAATCCAGTGTGATTTAGTGTATTAAGAAAAACAGGAAATATTCACATCAACAACAACTGTAGCCAAGGATTTTTCTTTGACATTTTGCTCAAATATTGCTTTAAGAATTAATCAATAACCAAAATAGATCAACTTTTCTGCTAATCCGACCAATTTCTTAACCAGGTTAATAAATAAACTATTCGTTTTAGCTGTAGTTGTTGAGGTGTGGAAAGCGATGAGGACATGACAGGGTGAGTGTGTGTGTTTGCATCAACAGCCACCCCAATTTACTCTCCCATACACTTGTTCTACTGTCCAACTTGTTTGATTTTTTTTTTTGTCAGAACCTCTGTTTCCGTCTGTCTTGCTAATTTCCCAGAATCTCTAATTTGGAGTATTGATGTCACATAAATGGAGACAGTGGCGGAGAGTAGAGTGTTGAATGCTTTAAAGGCACAAGATGTGGAGAGCTGGAGGGGGAAACCATCCTCTTGCTTCCACTGTCTTCGCTGGCAATTACCACTAACGCTCCCTGACAGCGAAGCAGCTAAAAGTGAAGCATACACCCTCTATCCAAACCCCCCACTCTCTCTCTCCCCCCGCTATAATTGCAGAGTAATGACGACCGCACTTGAGCTAACAAAACCGCCCAGAGCAAACGAGAGGTGATGGCAAATTTACTCTACAAACGGGATGCTATGTCACGTCGGCTATCTGATGCATTTGAATTTGGTAGAAATGCAACGTGTTTGTGTGCGCGTGCATCCGAAGATTTGACAGTCTGTCTCTGGAGGAATTCACCAGCACTTACCAGGTGCTCTGCAGCTGTCTGTTTAACTGCAGGACAGCAAAATAACAGAGCACTCTACTCATGTTCTCCTGAATTTTTCCTTTACATTTGAGCTACTTGGCTTAATTTGGCTCTAAAATGATTAACAAAGATCGTGAGATTTTTAGAAAGGCATACAGGTCACAACCACAGTCCCAGAACAAATACTTCTGTTTACCTTTCAGATGTATGTACAACAAAATGCTGGTAGGCAAAAAAATAAAAACCAGTACAGAGGATCAATTTAATTTGGAACTGTAGTACAAAAATTCTTCATTCTAGAATCAGCATTTAATCCACCGCACATGTGATATTTGCTCCGTCAAAACACAGACAATTAAACTATCAGGTCTCCATGACGTGAACTAAGGATACCTGGATTCATTCATTGTCATTCAAGTATTTATGAGAATTCAAAGATGATTCCAAAGCAGTTTCAAAAGCTTTCAACATTAATATCAATATAAGTAAACATCCTCTTCATTGTAGAGGTTGAAACTAGCTGCTTTCAGATGTGCACTGAACTCCGCAGTTCCTCCGTATTTTCTCCGGAGGAGGTGCACGTGTGAACGCAAATGTCCAAGTGAGACTTTCCATTGTCGAATTAAGAAACACTGATATTTTGGGCACCTTTGATATGTTGTTGGCTATAATTATATCATTTGTTATTGTGATAATAAATATATATTTTAAATATAAAACATGGTGTATCAGGATTTTTAGGAAGTTTTGGGACATTTTGCCTGATCATTTTGGTCATTTCTATAATCGTGACATCAAGGTTTTTCATCTTTACTTCCCATGATTTGTGTCTCCCTCCCTCCCCAGCTCCCTGAGTTTCCAGTCTTGACCTTTGCTGTCAGAAACACTGCAGAGACACCATTAAGTAACACTACTCCCCTCCCGCTTCCCCACCCATTTTAAAAACCCTTTAACCTTAATCAACCTTTTAATCAATTACCATGTCTGATTACACTGCACACACACCTCCCACCTCCCACCTCTCCTGTCTTTGAGAGAGAGGCTTTACTCTCTCTCTCTCCTCATCTATTCCCATGTGGGCGTTACCCTGCATTGTTAGAAGGCGGCTGTAACAATGAAGTAGTTTTCCTGAGCCCCAGCTTCTCTAATAGAACCAAGTTCAGTCCCTTAATTAGCCCTGAATGCCGTGTCAGTTTGAATTAAGGGGGAAGCCAGTTTTAGCATGGAAATCTAGATATGGAAACAACTGTGTGTGTGTGTGTGTGTGTGTGTGTGTGTGTGTGTGTGTGTGTGCGTGTGTGCGTGCGTGCGTGCGTGCGTGCGTGCGTGCGTGCTGGCTGGGAGCACTTGTACAGATATCTTTAAGAGGACCATTTTGAGGCTAGAACCTACAGAGTGAGGACTTTTTGGGAAAGTGAGGATATTTTGTCCCTTTTTTCCATTTTCTCTTAATGGACTGTTTCAGGGTTAAGACTTGATTTTAGGATTAGAATTAGATAGATGCACAAACGTGTGTGTGAGAAGAGGAGAAACCCTCAGAGGAGCGACTGACACACAGTAATAAACTGACTGATGTTAGCTGTCTACTGAGGTAACAGTTAGACGTGACCTCAGTGCTCTTGTGTGGCGCCATGCATCACGGCAGGATCTCAAGTGTCATGCAAACAGTGACAAAGCATTTAATTAATTATTAACTCACAAGGATTAAAACATTTGTTTACAAAATAATGCATGAATCTATAAATAATTGCAAAGTCATTAAGGAGGAACTATTAAAAAAAAAATTACTTTACAAATGAAATATTAATCAATAACCAAGAAATTGAAATTAAAAGGTTCATTAAGTGCATAATATAAAAATACATGAAATAATTTTTCATTAGATGATGGGTGTCCCCTGCCAAGTTTGCATTGTTCCAACACAGGACCCAAAGTGAAACAGTGGTGAAATTAAACAGGGAATGGAAATGCAAATTGAAATGTTTTAAATGCTTTATGCAGGATATGATACATCACTCACTGTTTTAAAAACATGAATGTGGTAGAAACCTGTGTAGCAATAAAACTAAGGTTCATTGTATGTACTCTGTATCAATATAATGCTTATATATTGTGTAAGCACAGTGAGGAGGTTTAACACATAACTTCAGAACCTCAGATTTACAAAATGATTTGCTGTTTATCAAGTGAAGAATTTGAAACCATAAACCACAACCTTCCCTCAGGAGCAAGAATCTTTTAACTTAAATACAAAATAATGTGATATTTACCATTATAAATATCTATATCGACTGATATTATTTTTGGTTATAGTTTCCATCCCCATCTTGAGTGTTGAATGGTGAAAATGTGTAACTGTAAGTGCTTATATATATATTTAATGTGTGTTAATTAATATTCAGTGTTAAATTAATTCAACATGCTTGAGTACTTGAGCTCCTTTAATAGGACTTGGAAAAAGTTTTGGATCCATGTTCTGAAACGTCCAATCTCTTAGTTTTCAGTCTCGTATTTTCCCTCTGATGGTTAATTTTTTGATCACTCATGTCACATGAGGATAAAATGATTGAGGACATGAGACAGTGAATTTGTGTAAAATGTAGAAAGTCTCAGTGGATCAGCAGCTCAAACACGTGGGGCAGTTTGAACATTCTCAAAGCCTCTTCTTTGTGTAAAAAAAGAGGATCACATTTGAATGCATGGGCCACACAATGTTCCAACACATCCAGGTTCATTTAGTATCAATGCTCATATCACTGTGGCACACTGTCTCGTGTTATGGTGTGTGAGTTATAATTGCTCCAATACATTAATTTCCTGAACCAGAAAATGAATAGAAACTTTCCCTGATTTTGTGTGTCCATCTTTTTCAGCACGGTGACGTCGGCGGTGTTCACGGTGGGCGACAACGTGGTTTCAGGGAGTGACGACCGCACCGTCAAGGTGTGGGATCTGAAAAACATGAGGTCACCCATAGCAACCATCCGCACTGACTCGGCTGTGAACAGGTGGGTGATGGGACATTTTTCTGATGCCTCCTAGAATGACAGTACCCAGAGAAAAGGCACGTGAACATGGGGGGGAACATGGAATCACCACACAGAAAGACTTTTCAGGAATGCCAGCAGGGAACACAGAGTCCAGGGGCAGCTAATGTCAGTGGATCATGCATACAGAGTTGTGACAAACTAAAAGTACAATGTGCTGAAGTAAATTTGTGCTTGAGATATTTTCTGTAAATTAACCGACTGCACTGCAGAATGAACCAAAATCAGATTCAAAGAGAACTCGGTGTGATGTTTCAGGATAAGCGTCTCCGCCAACCAGAGGATCATTGCTCTGCCACATGACAATCGACAGGTCCGACTGTTCGACATGAGCGGAGTGAGGCTGGCCAGACTTCCACGCAGCAACAGGATGGTAAGGAGGAGGAAGATGTGTGTTTGATTTGTAAGTTGTAATCGTTAAAACTAACATTCTACACCTCTGTGTGTGTGTAGGGTCACAGACGTATGGTGTGCTGCACGGCGTGGAACGAAGAGAACCAGTCATGCAACCTGTTCACCTGCGGCTTCGACCGACAGGCCATCGGCTGGAACATCAACATCCCGGCACTGCTGCAGGAGAAGTGATGCCACTGACACACACACACACTCTTACAGCAACACACAGTGAAGTAGGAGATGACCAGAATCTATCCATGTAAATACAATGTGGTACACAAACACTGTAATCTGTGGACCTCGTACATGCTCGTACGATGAAGGCGTTTAAACTGTGAAACGTGGTCGTTGTGCATTTCACGCAGGTGTGAGGTGGGAAATGCGTCGTTCATTTTGCCGTTTTCTTTGGATGCAGATGTAACACTGATTGACAAGATATTATTCCCCTGATTAATTTATTCTGTCTCTCATTGTGCACATGGGCAGAATGATTCAGTTCCGACACTTTTATTGTCAGAGTTTGTACGAGGCCACGCTCCTCTGTGTGTGTGCCCTTCATTTGTTTAGCATGGATTGTGAATCGTGACAGGCTGATCCGTTTATTTCGAGCCCTCCCTGTGTAAGAAAACAAAAACTATAAATCTGACTCCACAGTCACAGGCTGCTGTTCATGTCACTGCTGTTTTCTGTTACTGCTGAATGGAGGCTCTCGCATGTAGATAAACTACAGTTATGAGCCCAGGAAAGTTTGTAGAATATGATTTAAAGACATTGTGTATATATGAAGTTGTGGCCTGTGTTGCAGGTTGTTGCTTGTTTCTGAAGATGATGTGAAACGTTTTTATCCTTTTAGTCAAACTTGGAATATTTCTTACCATGGAGCCAAACATATCAGCACATCCACGCCTGCACGTTGTCTTAACATGTTCCACATAGGACCTGCTCTTTCAAAGATGGAGATTTGTGTCTTTGCCTATTATTACCTTCGATGCTTTCAGTTCACAGCCAGCCTATATATGAATATATTTAGTATTTCAAACGTATGATACTGTAACTCTGCCTTGTTCCGTGTTTACAAGAGAATTTCATTTTTTTAAGTATTGCTTCAATTCTGCCTTTCTGTAAGGATGCAAAGTGTCAAGAGCAAAGCAAAAATTGGAAAACATCTGCATTCTTGTTACTGTAGAATCCTCTAGAGGTGTATGATGTGTTCATCATCATGCAAAATGAAATATTCACTTCAGGTCGCAGGTGAAGTCCATTTTCTGTCCTCATGTGGAGGGTTGTGAGCACCATGAAACGTCTTGTCTTGAATATTTTCTTCTGCTCTCAGATTTTGAGTTTGTTTAGAGTCCCCACCAATAGAATTTAGTGTTGACAAGGGACATTTTCTACCGTCATTACGGACGGTTACTGTAACCAGGTTCATCCAGAATCCTGCGTTCCACCCTAACAGTTTTGCTAGCAACTATGGAAAAAAAATTGCATATGAGCACGAAGAAGCTGGAGTGCAGGAAATCTAAGCACAAGTAGAGAATATCTGAGTGTGAGGGCAGGGTTTGAAGTGACAGCATTACAAAATCTGAATGTGAAATAAGTAAAGGCCATCTGTTCTCAAACACCACTCTCTTGAATAAAGAAAGGAAAAAAAACCTAGTGCCAACTCAGAGCCCGTCTTGCTGTATTGTACAAATTCCAGCGTGAATTTGTTGTTTTGTGGACATTTCTGCGCTTCGGTAACGTTAATATTCTGTTATCGTGTTGACACTTTGCATCGAACCCTCAGCCTTGTACAACCTCTCGCACCTCCCGCTGTAGATTAAGCCTCTCTGTCTGTTTGATCCCGAAACAGAAGCAATAACCCAGCTCCTTGATGTTTGAACTGAAACTCACGGGAACTTTACCTGTTACACATGTGCAATATCCTGAACATGAAGTCATGCTGTAGTTTGTCATCCTCAGATGTTTCAGTGCTGTAAATCCCGTAAAGACGACTTAGTGTAGACGTAACTTCGGTGCATGTAGGTATGCATTGGCTTCAGACCACTATTCACTACTGTTTCTACCAACAATAGAGCCAGAATGGATTTTTTTAGTAGCATGAACCTAAAAATGTAATAAACGTATAGAAATTCCTTGAAAAATTATGCATTAGCCTTATCCATTTGAGCATCAATGCACTTTCCCAAACGCTTGTTAAATAACTAATTGTGTTCCGCTGCACAGTGCAGATAGGACTTTTACTTCTCTTTCATGCAGGGAACTCCAGCGCCCACTGCTATCAGTGTCATTTTAATCTGCAGGTAGAAAGGCAAAGTATAATTTGAGGCCCACATATGAATTCTAACTCGGAGGAAATATGATTTTGGATTGATACATTAAATTACCACGTGTCGGATTGGAAGAGTAACAAAAAAAGTGGATAGGCTTCACTTCATTGTAGTGAGTCATATTCACCTCAAACTTCATTATGTGATCTACTTTGCATACTTTATTGTGACGGGTACGTGCTCTCTGACACTTTCCAATAAAAATGTGTGATTTCCGACCGCAGTCTCACATGTCTCCTTCGTCTTAATTAACACCACCCTCCCTCGTAACCTATTCACTTCAAAAAGATATGTATCATTTTTGAAAGTCACACTTTATTCATCGGGATGTAAGTGAACGGTGCCTCTGGATAATGACCTCTAGTGTTAATGGCAGCAGGAGCATGAGGTGTACAAGCATTTGTGCCGAGGAGCAGGAGTTTTGCTATTTTAAAAAAAGGCTGATTAGAAACTTGATATTTTTAGTCTCTTAAGTTTCTTTGCTGAATAGTCCTGTGGCATAAAGGAAGCTATGTGGCAGCTGCACACATACAGTAGACATGCTAACACCCCTTTGATGTGTTGTGACAGCAGGTACTTGAAACTTGTCAGAGCAGGAAAAGCTAATGTGATTAACAAAAGCTAAACAAACGTTTGTTTAGCTGCTGATTTGATTTATGCCTTTTCTATCCCTACTCTGACGTGTTAAGTGAATGTGCTCTGTTGATTTTCAGTATGTCATATCTTTTATA